TCGTCTGCCACTATTCCCTTTCGCCCTTTCCACCTGCGCCGCCTCCCTCGGCCCCCGTCCCCCCCCCATGAGATGCCCTCTCTCCCTGCCTCGGTAAAGCAGGCCAGATCTCTCATCACATGTTAGGAGCTTCAATTGTTTTTTGGAGTGCTAACATGAAACCGTGGGGGTTAAGTTTTAAGGCGGGGTTAATGTGATTGACAGGTCACTGCTGCTACTCGAGCCCTATATAGCATCTCTACGTTACTCCTTCACATTCCAAATATGGAAACTTCTGCAGATTGGTTGCGAAATAATAACATGCCGGCGACAGTATTTCAAACAAACTTGAGATTTCAAAACGGCAGTCCATAAACCAAAGTCTACTCAGTCTATGTTTCCAACGCATAGTTACGCACAATCAAGTCTATTTGAGTTGTGACATGATTTAGCTTGTTTACAATTTAAATTCAAGAAACACAACAAATGAACAAATTACTAAACTAATTGGCTCAGGAAGTCAAACTGCACAGCCGAAGCTTTTCTTTTAGAAGAGATTAAAGTGTTCAAACTGACATTTATTTCTACCTGCCTCCTGTTTAATTGCCTGCTCTAGCACCGAGATAAAAGCCGTGCACTTTGATAGAGAACCAAATATACCTTAAGTGTGTTTGTGTGTGAATGCTAACAGACATAATGAGCGGGAGCAGAGGCTTCTATTGAGGGCAGCGCAGACGAAACCAATCAATTAGGCGGTAAGTGACAAATACTGAGTAAACACAGGGCTACTTCTGCAGGCTTCTGACATCTCTGTGGCAACCAGCCGGATCTCCCGTCCCTCTGGATCCTTTGATTGTCCAATCAATCCCACGTTTAGTAATCAAATTTACCAACAAACAAAAAAAATCCTCACCCGACGTCCACATTCAGTATCTCTTGCTCATATCCACGATGAGATAAGGAAGAATAAAGACGTTTATTAGATTTAAAGACTTGACGTTTCATGTTGTTGTCAAATGAGTGTTCGCAGCAGGAATGGCGTAGTTCATCTCACGAAGCGCATTCAGGAAACGCCTCTCTGATTCAGAGATGGATCTTATCATAATCCTTGCAGTGGTTAACTCTCAGCCCGGTAAACAAATGTTCACAACAGCCGGTTACAGTTTTGTTGGATCTCTATAAACATGGGAGACAACTGTGACCCTGTTCTGCATATAAACACACACACAAAAACACACACACTGTCTGGCAGTAAAGCAAGCCTGACTGATACACAGCTCCGCCCACATACCCTTTGTTTGACAGCACAGGGATAAAAGTTCACATTTTTCCATAACGAGTCGGCAGTATCAGCTTACGGAAAATGTCTACCGAGGGGGCAGCGTTCATAAACGCCAGATTCAATTTCAGTGGCAAGCAGAATCACATTTGTTTTAAGAAAATTACTTCTGGCGACAAGGTCCTAATAGAAGCCCCACGGCCCGGGGAGAGAACACACACTCTCGGACCGCTCCGGGTGAAACTTGCAGGGATCCCCCCTGAAGTCCTGCTGAACAAATGGCCACCTCGGCTCCCGGCAAGACAATGCCGCCTGTGAGCTGCTAATTTGTAGTGACAAAGTGTAGCAGAGGCCGAGAGCACAGGTCGTCTCCCTTGGACACCGGCTCGAATGGCCGGCCGTCACAAAAGCACCAGAGCAAGAGCAGGCCGGAGTTTTGTCACACAGGCACCTCTGGAACGTCTAAAGTGCACATTAACAAATCATGTACTCATCCATACAATTCATGAACTCTTGGCTTTCTTTTGAAAAAGTAAAGTAAAAATGTCTGATTACTAAGTTTACTAAGTAACAAGATCCTCAACCTTTCGCTCTGTGAAACGTTGAAACCTTTCTTTGGCGACTTCTTAACTGCTCATCTGCTTAACTTGCTGTGCTGCTTCTGCACCGAGCCAATAGGATTGTCCAGAGAAATATCTGCTTTCTAATTAAGGAGTGTTTTAATTTCAGAAATACCAAAGTAACTAAACATAATGTCAATCTCCAGTGTTTCTCCTACCATACAATAACGTTACAATTATCCACTCAATCCACAATTATCCAATATTTGCGTACGGGGGAATTCCGTCCTAATGGGCAGAAACGGACACATGCATGCACACGTCAGCACGCTACCACCAGCAGACAGAGAGCGCACATCAAAAAAATGAAGGTGTCGCGTACGCACCTCTGTCCCCGGGGCGGCTGACATGGGGGGGGCGTCCGTGACACCAACATTTTTATTTCTGCATTCCTTTGCTGGTTTGGGTAGCCTCAGAATTGTCTCTCTTATCTTTGCATATAATAACGTTCTGTTTGGGCTGAGTGGTGGAGCAGGGTCGTCCTTCAGAGGAGTCGGTGGTTCGATCCCCGGCTCGTCAGGCCATGTCGGTGTGACATGGACAACGCATTTAATCCCAAAATAGCTTCCGCAAATGTCTTAAGGTGAAGATGCACCCTTGCATGGCTCCACCTGTGATCAGTGTGTGAATGGGTAAGTGATTACATGATTAAAGAGCTTTGAGTGGTCTGAAGACTAGAAAAGATAAATGCAGGTACAGTCCATTTGCCATTTAGCTTCAACCGACAGTGACCGTTGTACCAGACCAGACCAGGAAAGCTTCCAACTTACCATGTCATCTACATTCAAACTCAGATATGTTTATAAGCTCTGATTAGAAAATGACTACATCATGGAAACTGGACGCAAAAATAACTTTCCTCTGGACTCATCCTTAGAGATAGGGTATATGGACCTGGGACATCATGAGGGACTTTCACCGCAACCTTCCTCCCACATAAGTGTCAGGGATGGATGGATGAACAGATGTGAATATTCAGCCTCCCCTCTGAGGAGCCTGTGAACAGACCACCTCTATAATATTATCCTGATACAACTCACTTTTGGGTACATGCCCGAGGGTGTGTTGTCCACCAACACATAGCCTCACAATAAAAATCACATCTAAGGTCAGGAGGATGATGGTGCATCAGGGGGTTTCCAAATAAATGCAGGTGTTTTGGACAGAAACACCTGATAAAATGACAAGTGAGAGATAACAGTATGGAGGGCTCATACATTGACGCACTCATGAGGATTGTGGAACAACAAGTCCATGACGTGCCCTAAGTTTGATCCACTTTCTTGTTTTTCTCACCACATCCACTGCGTGTTTTACTAGACTGCCAAGTGAGTGTTTGTCGATACGGAATGACGCTAATAAGGGTGAGGGAACCTGGGGGAGAGGGAGAGCAAGCACAGGCGCGCCGTCACTTACAGGTGCTCCCAGGAATAGCAGGGAAGTTAATGGCGCGCTGGCCGGCAGTGGCCCATAATGCCTGTTGATGGAAAACACAGGGGGCCAATTACAGCGGCCATATCTAATCACCGGGGTCAGGGGGTCAACTCCCATCCCACCATCTGTATTCATTTCATGTGTTTTGTTGTGAGCTTTTGCAACATCACTGGGAGGAGATGTATATTCTGGAGGTGATGTAAAGCGTGTTTCACACACACACACACACACATCACGCAGAGGCATTCAAATGCTGGATGTAGCATGGTGATGTAATACAACATGGTGGGTATTAAAGCACCATCAAAGCAGAGAACAGCTGATTGAGAAGCTGGAGGTGAAGTGATGTAATAAACAGCGGCTGGCAGGAAGGGCCAGCTCAGACTGCTTTATGGGAGGAAGATCATATTCCTGAAAGGCCTGAAACCTGCCGCAGTCTCCTCTCAGACAGAGGAGTATTTGTTATTCCAGACAGCCTCGTTGAAAGTGTGTCCTTCTGTCCATAAATCACATGCGTTACAGCAAATGGAATAGAGAGCAAAGCTGCTTAGCGACAATCAATAATCATTGATGTCAGCGGTCAGTTCAACCAAAAATGTGGCGTAAGACACTAACACGCATACTTCTTTTAAAGGAAAACATAGAAGCGTATGGGGAGATCTACATGTTAAGTTGTTTTTTGTATACTATAAACTTTCTGACTCTGTTCCAATGGCTTCTTTTGTTAGACGACTTATTCCAAGACACTGATAGCACTTGCTATTAGAAGTTCAAACATTTAGTTAGATGTATTTTTTTACCAGGGACAGTGCATATCAATCAACATTCAAGTAATAGTGATGATCAGCTGCTTCTAGTTTGTAAATGAACTCAATAGATTACAGAGTTGTTCTGCTTGCTTTGTCACCAGATTTTAAAACACAATGTAATGTGGGATAAAGGTCGGAGCATGTAGAAAGAGTTTGGCTGCCTCTGTCGTTAGCTATGGTCTCATACGCCTAACACTACCTTCAGGCTTCATGCAGAGCAATGCAGAAGCAACGGCAGGACAGGTTGGAAACTTTACAGAAAAATATGTCTTCTTATGAGCAGTGGAGCGCATGGTACACAGGAAAAGATTAGAGGATTACAGCGCGTGTGTGTGTGCGTGCGTGTGTGTGTGTGAGAGCTAGGACTCTACATAACAGGAAGGGAGAGCGCATGCGATGGAGCTCCAGCTGTGGTGTTCTCCGAGGCAGAAGTGAGTGGAGGTGTGAACGCACAGCCAGGTGCTGCCCCCGTCTCACCCGGACACCCTTCGCTCAGTCCACTTCCTCCCCGTTAATTAGGAGAACCGGTGGTGGTGGGGGCGGTTGTAAAACAGCTCGCTGTCCAACCAGCCGTTAAATCAGAGACCTACTTCTTGTACGCGGATTTAGTCGATACCTTTGAAGTTCACACTTGACTCCCATTAGATTTTTGTCTGAAGGAGAAACTGTGAGCGTTGCCACAGCTGATGTGTCAATCACGTTTATTTTCTAATCCGGCACCTATATGTGTATCCGACATCTTCACATCTTCATGCTAATACATTTTACACTTTTTATATCTCAATCCAAATACCGATGGTCGTGATTTAAAATCCGGAGAGTAGAAACAAAGAGAAATGAGTCACCAGAAATACAACGATGCACAGTGAGGCCGCTCACCTTCGCACTGCTTGCCATCTCCCTTGTAGCCCGGCTTGCAGATACAGTTGTAGGACTTGGGCGTGTTCTGGCACAGGGCGTCGATGTGGCAGTCGTCCGAACCTTCTGCACACTCGTCTGGATCTGCACGAACGTAAAGAATGAAAGATCAATAGACGTGACTCCCAATGGATTCAGCGAGCCGATGTTGGGGACGCACCTCTCTGACCCACATTTAAGTACCTCATAAAATCCCCGACCTCGACCTATACATTTATAGGTTGAGGTTCAGAGTTGGATTAGTACATCCAACGACCACCACAAGTAGTACTCTTAGTTACAAGTGCTACATGTGCCTCATCTCATCCAAATCTTATTCAAATATGGAGCAAATACCCATCCCACTCAATTTGACTTTCGAGGTCAAACGTCAAGTTCACTGTGAACTTATGTCAGTCCAATCCACTTGAATGCAATAGTTCAGGGATGCTAAGAGATAAACGTCCTCTCGGACTAAACAATGAACTGATTAGAATTCGGTTACTATAACTTTACAGAACATGATTATGGCAATTACTCATAGGCTAATCAAGACAATTTAGCACGGTTGTTGGATAAAATTCAGAGGTGATGATAACTTGAGACTGAGGTGCTAAAAAAAACTGAAAAGTCAGCAAAACAGCCCGTAGCAAAAGAGGGCTACCCATCTGGTGTTATGATGAAGTGTTAGCGGGGTGCTACTCTGGTTCTGTGGAGCGAAGCACATGAAGCATCTCTCTGCTGACCAGTATGGGGCATAGACATAAACATTGTAAATGTGAGTTAATGGTCTCACTCTCTGGTTTAAAGTCTTCTTCAATATTGCGTGACGTTTAGATTTCAAGTATATTCTCCTTAGAATCAATAGACCACGAAGCAGAGGATGCTGTGGAGGAGGCTCATCGTGAAAGTTACTAACTTACTAACTAAATCTGTGTATGTGTATAGCTGCAGGCTATTGCTTTTCATGTTATTCTATGTGGCTGTGCGTCTTTGTATATTTTTACTTTTCTGTTAAAATAAGATTAAGTAAAATGCTGCCTGTGCCAAACTGAGTGACAGAGAGAGAGAGAGAGAGACCACCGCGGCATCATGTGGAGAACAGAGGGTTTAACAGCTTTCTGATTGATCGGGTTAGAGGAGCAAGTCACATCTGGGCCTGAGTCATTGGACACACACACACAAACAAACACACGCACAACAGGAGACAGATACGGACACGTTTTTGGTTTCCCTGTTCAGCAGACCTTTGCATCCCCACAAATCCCTTCTTCTGCAGTATAACTAGTAGGTGGTTCGGTGTGTGTGTGTGTGTGTGTGTGTGTGTAAGATAGGTGACCCGGCTGGGAGCTGCCTGGGGTTAGGCCTCTGCTCTCTTCTTGGCCCTACGCCCGGCTCAGCTGTGTAAAGGCAATAAATAAACCATAAAACTGAATTTATAATAAATATTTTTCCTGTGAAAAAAAAGCCAGGAGCCACATCATCCCCTTCTTTTCTGTGTTCTGTATATAAATCAACTGTCCCTGGTTTTGACCAAACCTTTCCCTCGTGGGGGCTCTCTCTCAATATTGGCTCACAGCAATGGGAGGGTGAGCGATGCGCCGCTGCGCAATCGATGCGGGACCCTAAATGCCTGACGGTTGCTCCTCCTGGGACTTGGCCGGTTCCTTCTGCCCCCACAACCCCATATTTACACACACACACACACACAGCCTCCCTCCTCCTCCAGCCCGGACCTAAGATGCTCCCTTCAGCTGCTTCAGCCGCCGCTTCCAAAAGCCGCACATGCTGTAAATCGCACCGTTTCACGCCGTTTCCTCGCGCGGGGACAAACAGATAAAGCACGCAGTCCTCTCCGTGCGCATCACAGACCACGAGCCCGATCCGGAGGGAAAGCTGCCGTTTCCGATAGAAATTGACCTTTGCGCGCTGGACACATAAAGTTCCAGTGGAGTCCGGGACGCCGATGATCGCCGACCCGTAATCCGGTTACGCATCCCGGATGCCTTTGAGGACTGTGATGTAAATGTAAAGCAGACTTTCTTTTACATTTAATAAATCAAGCACGATTTACTGGATTTACCAAATCCCGCATGAATTGTCGCAATTACCCCCCTCCCCGAAAAAAACAAAATCCGCGTAATTGCGAGTTTCTCCCAACATTTATCGTACGACTATATTCTTCTTAATTTCAGCACTTTTTAATGGTATTCACGGACCTTAAAAAAACGGCCGCGCAATCAAATGAGCACGTTACAGTTCGCCTGTCGGCGCTTCCTACTTGTTATTTTAAATCTCCTGCGACATGATGGTGGTTCCAGCGAAGCCGGTGAGCCAGAAGCCGGCAAAAGAGAACAGAAAAGTGCGTTTCGTGGCTGACAATGAAGCAAGACGGAGAGGAAACGGCAGCTCTTACCTGCGAGTCCGACATCCCCCATCACCCTGCAAGTATTTATGAGGAGGATAAACAAACAAACGTCCCGGGAAAAACAAGCGCTCCCCATGCTGACAGACGGTGTGAGGATTCAGCGGGGCTGTTTCTGAGGGGTTTGGATCGTGCGTGTGTGTGTGTGTGTGTGTCTGATACGAGAGGAGGAGGAGGACCACTCTATGGAGGACCTGCAGAGAGAGAGAGTGAAAGGGAGAGCGGAGGCCATCCGAGGCCTCTGATTGGCTTGTTTGTGCCGGTAAAGGAGAGAGAGAGGGAGAGAGAGGGGGGAGGAGGGGGAGAGTGGGGGGGAGAGGGAGAGAGAGAGAGGGGGAGAGGCTTTCATGAGCGAGGAGCTGCAGCCGCATGATGGAGATCGCCTCACGGTTCCATAGATAAATATAAATAGTATGCTACATGAATACACGAATCAGTTCAATCCACTCCGCAAAAAGATAAATACAGTTTTATTGTTTGTTTTCCCCCTTCAATATTTTTAAAACCTGATCCATCTTAGAAAATAAAAAAACTAAAACCTACCATAAGCTTCTCACCAATCATGTCCATCGCCTGTCTGTGAGTCACAGGCCCAAGAACAAGTTGTGAATTGCTGATTTGGAGGACTATTGTTTCATTTTATTTTCATTTTTTAGTGCTTCATATGAAAACTATTGTGTTTTTGATTAATCTGGATCCAATTATTTCAATCATCTGCTCTCTACTGGTTGAAATCTAGCTATTACAATTTAATTTAGCTATTGACTGATCTGTTCAGGGAGGCAGCATTCCTCACCAACCAGACGGCAACCTCCACTTTCGACAAATGCATTCTCTCTAATGTCCACCAGGGGGCCGCTCCTCTGGTCCTATAGAAGTCTATGAGAAAAGTATTCCACTTCTCTCTTGATTTTTCCCTCAGTAAACATTGTAAACATGAGTTCATGGTCTCAATCTATAGTTTTAAGTCTTCTTCAAAATAGCATGAAGCGCATTCAGTAAATTGTGTGTGTTTTTGCATGTTATGCCTAACTCAACACATAAGGGTCAAAACATGTTACACTGTCAAATCACAGTAAGAGAAAATTTAGTATTTCAGTTATTTATTTATTCAATGAGAATTTTACTCAACAAAAGATGAAAATAAAAACAAGAACATGTTAACTCTACATGTTGAAGTGACGCACACAAAATGTGGAGCTTCAGCCAAAACTGCATATTTAACATAAATTTAATTTATAAATCCAGCCCATCAATGTTGCCCAAATTGCCCATTAAGGAACCTTAAGGATAAAGAGGTCATAGTTGAGGAACCACTGGGGCATCATTTTATTTTATTTTATGTGGGCCATTTTAGAGGCACGGACCTGGACATCGTTGAGGACTTTCGGATTGAATTGCACTGCTCTCGTTCAATATATATATATATGTATATATATACATATATATTGGCGCAACCTGCGAATTTGAAGACGTTTAACGAGGTTCAACGATCAATGAATGAAATCATCATGCACACTTACTGATGCACAAAGTCGAGACAGGGACGATTTCCAGCGTACAATATTGGATAGTTGCTTTATGCGGCTTAGGACAGAAAAGGTTGGAGGAAAATGTTTGGGGCCCAATGACTGGGGGCCATATGTCACTAGCAGGTTAATCCAGCTATGGCAAAGGTCAGTTAAACAAAATAATAGTCCATGCTGTTGCCTTCCTGAGTGACTCTGGGACATCAAGGATCACAGTTTAAGCAAATTTAATTTCACGGGCTATTAGTGAATAAAGTGTTTATAAGACCTTTTGCAAACCCAACCTAGTCATTGGTGCACAACTTAATTTGCATAGATATAAAGACTGGATTAACTGAGCGATTCATTGTTATTTCCCATTTTAGATTGCATTCAATACTCGCCTAGTTAGCTAGGTCTAGTAAAAACGTCATTAACAGAGAGCCCGTGGATGAAGTGTTTCCTAAATACAATTTACCGGCGTTTTTATCCGTTCGAGGTGAAGCGGGTGTAAAGAAGACAAACGCCGCCATCTGCTGGATGAGCTCCTTGACTCGTCCCGCCCACTTCAATGCGTTTTCATTTCTATCCAATCACAGAGAGGAGACAGACTGATGCGTTTGAGAGCAACACATTATCAGCTTTATCAGTATTGATATGTTTTTCTTTCCTTGTGTCTGGTTGCGACACATTTTCGACATTGTTATTATATCCGACTTATTACGACAACCATATGCTACAACAAATGTAACTGCGTGTAACTGTGACCGGTTGGTTTGGTTCTTGGTTCTTGGACAGTAATTTGGGGAGAAGAGCCACTTCACTGAAGTTTTCTATCACTAAACGCCAGAAGCGACCTTCACGTCACCATGCTGGTGCTTGCATGTCACGGAATTCACATTTGTCACATTTCTTCAGCTGTGTTTGGCTAAAGATAAGATAAACTAGAGGTGCACATTGAAATCATTTTGTGAGGTTAACGTATGAGTACTTGAATGCAGCGCGAGATCTCGCCCACTGTCATGGCGTCTCCCTTGAAGGGGGTTTGGTGCTGGAGAAAGTAACCGCTGTCATTTGTCCATTTTCTCGCGTGAGCAGTGCACTTCTCCCCGATAGAAGAGGCTGTTAGGAGCGGGTAGATACCATGGGGACCGTCCATGCTAAGGTAAACTCTGTTACGTCCTACCTGCTGTTCTCTGTGGGCTTTTGACGATGACCTCCCTGCCCAGCTTGCGCGGAAGGCTGCACACGCACAGCATGTGTACTCGATGTTCTGTCACACGCCGGTTGAGTAAGGCATAGAATGCGGATAAATAGCCGGTGCATTAAGGTGTACACCGGTTTAGCTGTGCGCGATGAAGCGGTGTAACTTGGCCTCTAGCTAATGGAAGTTGTGCTTATTGTGCTGTGGGCCTTTAAATACGGAATTTACAAGCAATGTGCCCGAATGAGTACAACGCATTCAAATAAGGGTTCCGCTTGTCTTAGCTATTTATCTCGGTAACATACAATACCCCCCGTAGAGTATCGTCTCCTATCCATATATCGATATTCATCTTCTAATTTCTGCACCGAGGTAACTAACAAGTCGAGTCTCGTGCTCCCCAATGCGCAGTGACTTTCACTGTCCGTGGGACATCAGACACTCGCAGGCTGTGTCCCCTCATGAAGCCTCTCACCAATGGACTTCCCTGTCCTATAAAGGCGTCATACATGCTGGTTTTGTTGGGTGTTGTTTGGGACTGTGTGTTTAGGATTAACTGTAAAGTCCCACCTTCCTAAACGTTTTAATAATAATATACACCAAAACAAAATCCAAATTTAGAAGCAAACTTCGAGGTTGACTCGCCTCCCCAGCGGACAGAGCAAGATTTATTTGCCACTGGACTGTACAGGCGGTTTCATTTTAAAGCCCTGTGCTTGTGGTTGTAGAGTCTGGATCCTCTCCCAATGCATGGCCGGGACTTGGGCCTCCACCCCGATGACCTAGTGGAGCCTCCAGAGCCGGAGCAGGAGTCCAAGCAGGAGATCCTCGAAAACAAAGATGTGAGTAGCAGCACTAGTGCTCGTAGTAGTGAAAACCAGTATAATATTTCAGGTGTTGTCTAACGGTAATTAGGTGTGTTTTTAGATGCAAGACTTATGTGTAAAGGTCACGCAGTGACAACTTTGAATTCATGTCTGATTTGCTCTCTTCCTGGACACTCGGTCAGAAAGTATCTCTATGTGTCATGCAAACAAGCAGGAGAACAGCACCAAACTGATCACTTGTGAGAAAGCGGCTGCTATCCCAAAAGTGTTTGAATGTGTGTGCATCCGTGACATCTGTGATGGCAGGTGGTTGTCCAGCATGTCAACGTCCAGGGGCTTGGAAGAACTAAAGAGGACCTGCTGGGCTATGAGATCTCTGACGTTTTCCACGCCAAAAACCTCATCGACGTACGTAGTTTTGACGGTGGTGTGGTTATAGCACTCTGACTCCTGAGTTTTATGAATAGTAGAGAGGATATGTTTCTTTTCTTGAAGTGCAAAGCTCAGTTACTCTCTCGGTTACAGGTGATGAAAAAGTCTCACATCGCCAGACAGAGGCTGCTGCGCCTTGGAATCTTTAAGGAGGTGGAGGTTCTGATTGATACATCTGAAGGTAACTCATTCACGCCTTCTCTCCAAAGAAACAAGCGGCACCCTAGAATGTTAAGCGAAAGGGTTGGTCATATTTTATTCGGTTTGGCAGTGATTCTCTCGTTTGGTGTTGTAAACCCAGCGGTGTGCTTTTGCCCCTCTCCCCCCCGTCAAGAAGCTCTGACTCTTTCTTATTCACCATGCTTTGTAGCTGCAACCTTTTTTTGCTGAGTTAAGTCTATTCATATGTATTATATTTTGTCTGATACTTTACAAGAGCACAATGTTCTTCATTGATTTAGCCTCTTAGTTTTAGTTTCAGAGTGCACCAGATTAATGCATTTACCTCAAACATACATATTGTTCTACTCCGTGTTACTAAAGGCAATGCGCATTCGTGTTAAATAATCATGACCTTGATATTGAACAACATAATGCTGAAATATATATAAATGTCTTTATTTCCTCAAACTGAAAAGGAAAAGACCGTAGTACGGTTTATAGAAACCTGTCATGTGTCTTTTTGTGAATGTCATCGAGACGTGACGGCACGCTGTCTTTCTATTGGATGACTGCCGTGTGACGTGAACATGCAAGAACATAACAAAGCGCCCCCCCCCCCCCAACTGGTTGTCCCTCCCCAGGTTCGGATGCTTTGCCCAACGGACTTGATGTGACGTTTGAGGTGACGGAGGTGAAAAGGCTGACAGGAAGCTACAACACCATGGTCGGCAACAATGAAGGAAGCATGGTGAGATGTGTATGTGTATCTATGGGGGAGGCACCAGAGCGTTTTATGCAATGGCCATGGAACATATTTTGTATAAACGTTTTACTTATACTTAACAATACTACACTGCCACCATTGAAATCTTGATCTCTAAATATTAAATGAGTGATAATATGAATTTGGATCTTTATCTGAAAATGTGGAGAGCTTCGAACGTAATAAAGTGCAGCTGTGCAGCGTAAGAATGATGAATTGATTTAGTAAGTATTGGGTTCAGAGAGTTGTTGGTCCCGAGTTTAACCGGATTGGTCGGTCTTCCAGGTGCTGGGATTAAAGTTGCCCAACATGTTCGGTCGAGCTGAAAAACTCACCTTCCAGTTCTCCTACGGGACCAAGGAGACGTCTTACGGCCTGTCCTTCTTCAAGCCCCAGCCGGGCCACTTTGAGCGCAAGTATGTCAAGGAATGTTCCCCACCGGCTTTGGGAAACAACGCTTCAACAGATCTCCAGTGCTGGCTTAACTGTGTCCTCTGTTTCAGCCTCACCCTCAACATGTACAAAGTCACCGGTCAGTTCCCATGGAGCTCCTTAAAGGAGACCGACAGAGGCGCATCTGCAGAGTTCAATGTAAGTGTGTGTGTGTGTGTGTGTGTGTGTGTGTGTGTGTGTGTGTGTGGGGGGGGGGACGGACTAGTAACTCTGTTTCTGTGCAACTACTGTCAGAAACAGAGTTACGTGTCCTCCAGCTTTTAACGTCATGCTCTTATCGTTTCTTAATCCTTCTTGCATTTAGTACACCGAGGATAATATATATCTACTTATGGTTTTCATTATGAACAAGTACACTGGCATTATGTAAACTACCTAGATCATTTTATTAATAGCAGGTTTTTGATGCAGGCAATTTATTCTGCTAACCCAACATATTTTTCTTTTTTTCTTTTTTTGTTAAATGGATGCATTATTCATTAAGACTCCTCCATCTTACTTTCCTCCTGCAGTTTCCTCTGGGAATGACCAACCACACGCTGAAGTGGGAGGGGGTGTGGCGGGAGCTGGGCTGCCTGGCACGTAGTGCGTCCTTCGCCGTGCGGGAGGAGAGTGGACACTCGCTGAAATCTGCCCTCTCGGTACCCGTTTTGCACCTCCTAGCTTTTCTTTCATGTCATTCAGTCTATTCTAAAAAACACAACGTTCCCCCGTAGCGCTGACTACATCCAACCCTTGTGATGTATCAAGTTTATACGTTTATGAGTGCTCTGTGCCAGTAACCAATTCAACGGGGCTCCTTTTTGTTTGCAGCACACTATGTCAATCGATTCAAGGAATTCCGCCATATTCCCAAACCGGGGCGCTTTACTCCGGATCAACCAGGTCAGTGGGAATGCCTGTGTTTGCTCGTTTAGACCCAAGTAAGAGAACACAGAACATTTTACAGAGCGGCCATTTATTCACCTACCGGTTTAATGACAGAACGGCGGCGGTTGAAACTCTGTACAGTTCAAAGTATAACTTTGAAACATTAAAGTTGAGCCACATGGACGTTTTGGTCATCTTCAGGCACTAGCAGAAGATGTATTTGTGATTTGCTGCTGCTCTGCAGGAGCTGGCTGGGTACACAGGAGGAGACGCCAGCTTTCTGAAAGAGGACTTTGAGCTGCAGCTCAACAGACGGCTCTTCTGGGACTCAGTAAGTCAGACTCAAGTCTCTCCAGACCTCTTTTTAGTCCGTCCTTATGTTTGTAGCTGCATCACAGAATCACCAGTGGGCGCTAAAGCTGCACTTACCCAGTCCGGTTACACTGAATGGTATTTATTTGTTGAGGTTTTGTTTAAATTAAAACAACTTTTTGTGTCTGCTCAGGTCTTGTCTGCCTCTCTGTGGGGGGGGATGCTTTGTCCCATCGGAGCACAGCCGTCCTGCATCGCAGACAGGTACAGAAGTGTCCTTCTGCTCCGACCATTCCCCTGAGAATGCTTTTAATAGTTTCTTTTTTGATCGAAATCCTCCATCAAATTTATTTTTAAGAAGCTCCTCGTGTAAATTGACCCATTCCTTTTAATGTACTTTCATTTATCCCCCAAACGTTGCCATTTAGTATTAACTTGTACATAGTATTAATGACCTGCCTTTGAATGGCAGGTGTGTGCTTTTGACTGCACGCTGCCCTCAGAGTGGATGCGTCATCAGAGTTGTGTTTTTGATCCAGGTTCTACCTCGGAGGACCCACCAGTGTGCGAGGGTTTGGGATGTACAGCATCGGGCCGCAGAGTGAAGGTACAAAGCCATTCGGACTGTCGACCATGGAAACATGAATCAGAGAAAGTGCTTTAGAATATTTGTTGTAGTTAAAATGTGGATTTTGTGGAGACCAGAAGCCCTCGCTGCAAAAAGAGAACACCTTATCCCCACCGGGGATAGTATTAATTATGTCTTAACGTTTCCCCGTCAGAAACATGCGTCTGACAGCCCCACTGCTGCTTTCCCCTGAAAACTCCGTGTAAGACAAGATATTCCTTTCTTAGTCCCACAGTGGGGAAATTTACAAAGAGTGAACCCAGGTGTGTTTCCAACCGGAATCACTTGTTGCCCGTCATCTCAGTCCCTCCACAGACGACGTAAATAACTGAAGTCCATACGAACTATGAATTAGGTAGAGCAGCGTATCCTGGTTCAAGGCTCTCTCTGTGTGCTCCAGGTGACTATCTGGGCGGGGAGGCGTACTGGGCAGGCGGCCTGCACCTCTACACTCCACTGCCCTTCAGGCCGGGCAAGGGCGGCTTCGGAGACCTTTTCAGGACGCATTTCTTCCTCAATGCAGGCAACCTCTGCAACCTCAACTACGGTGGGTGGACTAAAACAGCATAGGATGCATTCAGGGCCTGCCTCCACGTGACAAAGTTCCCCATTTTATTACTCTGAGCAATAAACTATGTGTATATGTAAGTGATCCCAGGTGGGCTCTGAGTTGTTGGGGGTTATGTGTGCAGGCGAGGGCCCCCGGGCTCATCTTCAGAAGCTGGCTGAATGTATCCGATGGTCATACGGAGCGGGCATCGTGCTGCGGCTCGGCAACATCGCCAGACTGGAGCTGAACTACTGTGTTCCCATGGGGGTCCAGAGCGGAGACAGGTAGGCCGAGGCTCCCCATGTTGTATTTAGGTTGTATTTCTTTGTGCACGTGGTGAGAAGAACTGCCCTGCGCCCCCTCATATAATGGTTGGGGAAACACTAAAACTTTCTTTTACACATTTGTATCATGGAAACAGTAGTGTGTATAAAATACAATTCTGCTACTTATAGCAGAATTGTATTTGAAACAGGAATCTCATGCGAAACATGGCCAGTTTTACGCATCAAAGTGTGAAATAGCATATGATCTTTTAACAAGTGTTTAACAAATGTATATCATGTATTGATATTCAGTGCTCCTTTTTAATTTAACAATTGTAGAAATCTGCACAGAGCAGTGTGTGATGAAAGATCATGATGACAGGAAGCTGCTCCTCACTGTTGTCCTCTTTCCTCTCGCAGAATATGTGACGGTGTCCAGTTCGGAGCGGGGATTCGCTTCCTGTGACCTCATCACTCCACTGCCCTCCGGGCTCCAGCAAGAGGCTGCGACGGGAAAAGAAGTCTTGCTGTTTGTCACTTGTAACTTGTTGTAGAGTGTGTAACGCTAGCATGGGTCCCTTATCCTGGAGAGATGTGCCTGACACCCCCCCCCTCCTCCCTTCCCACACTGTGTGTCCTGGGGTTGAAACAGTAAATTCTTTCCCAGAATGTTTAAGATACTTTAGGCATGTTCCTTGTTTGCCTTCCAGGAAAGCATCTCATCCATGAGCGGGACTTGCTAGTGATTTTATTTTGACACGTACCTGTACACCAGGCACTCTCCTGTCGGGGAGGGATTGGACCGATGGCACTTTTCAGTCGAAGCAGAAAATCCCATGTGAAAATGATGGGTTGACCTCTGCCCCCCCCACCCCCTGAGCAACATCCACCACCAGTGCTCTTACCGTTGGTCCTCTTTTTTTTCTTTTTTGATAATGTTTAATCTATTCACAAATAAATCCCAGCTGCTCCCTTGGTTTGTCTTTTGAGCTTTCTCTTGTACAAAAAAATGAAAGGTTTTGGTACTTTTGTGGGATAAAGCAAAGTCTGTCCGAAGGAATAAGTGTCCAGGCAGTTATCAGGTCTAACCCGAGGAAACATGTCTGTGTGGGAGTCACTGCTTGGCCCCCTCACAGGTTTTGCCAGGATCGATTGAACCTTCGCTCTGCACGAACCTGTGCAGGGCAGTTGAGTGTGGATGGTGCCAGATGTTTGTTTGATTAGAGCTTGTTCTGCGTGGGAGTGCTGGGACGGCGTCCTGCTGAAACCTTAATAATATAAGCTCTGGTTAGTTCTAAACGCTGGAAAAAGTGTTGGTGGTTTAGAAGAACATTGTTTTAGCGTGTTATCCGCGCTCAAGTCCACTATTGCTCTTTAGAAATGCAAAATAAAGAGATGCAAGCATACTCTCTGGTTCAACTTTGTAGGTTTTAAAGTGTATCTATCACTGGCGGGCTCTATGCCACCTAGTGCCTTCCCTTTGTCCTGGTCACTCAAGGAGATAAGTACCTAATTAGAATTGGCGAAACTCAATCTTAAACAAATCATAATGTTCATCTTGGAAGACTTGAATATGTGGGGGAACCAGTCTCCTGGTTCTTCCATTACCTACAAATAAGAGATTAAATACCCAAAACCCTACATGCTCCAAACATGTGATTTTTGGATGAAACCCTCACACAACCCATACATACTCTGTCCTTGATGATATTGTGGGCTCTCCTGGAAACCCTGGTGTATTAAATGTCCCGTATTGAGGGACAAAGCCAATTTAAAATATTAGATAGACTGCATTGTACACCACTGCTGAGGGGAGACTTGGCCGATAGGTCCCAAACATGTCATTTTGAAGCTGGTACTGTCTTGTTAAGTTGTAAAAAAAACGTCATGAAGTTTCCATCAAGTGGAAAATAAATGTGATTGTCTGCCAATGGAGAAAAATTAACGAGTGACCTCCACAGTTCTCTTTGATCGGTGATCATATACTTTTTTTTTTTTAGGCTGCCACGGTTTTGTGTTTCTTATTGTTTAGTTTTATTTCTATCTGGAGATCTCTGCTTTTATACCGACAGCAGAGAGATGTTTGGGTTATTTATCAAAGTCAGGATTCAGATTCTTCAACATTATCTTAAACTCCCATTTGCTTGGCCGCTTGCACAATTGTTGTTTTGCATATTACATATCAGCATTCATTACCCAGACATATTTACCTAGGTGAGGTATATGTTTTAAACGCTTGCAATCAGCGCCGGCGCTCCGCACACGCACATCACGCACTGCGCGTAGGGCACCAAGTGCCTGGGGGGGGCATCAAAAAATCTGGGACGTCAAAAATCACCACAGTAGGCTACTAGTATAAATAACAAATAAAATATGTCTAAAGCATGTTAATATGCAAAAGCAATACAAAAGTAATAGGCCTAGACCAAATTAGTGGAGAAAAAGGGGCCCCCCTGCCCCCACCTCCCAGTGGTTTGTTCGATTATGCCTCAAATCTCAAATGTGGCAAATGACAGCTTTGAAATGGCTTCGAAAAGGCATCAAGAGTCGGGGGCGCTGTCCGCACGGATCGCCGGTGGGCCGTATTCGGTACTCGTCCGCGGGCCTCCCGAAGTTTCTGTTACCGTTTTTGTTATCATTTGTTTTTTATGTTATCATTTACGTATTTGACATTTCTGCATAACAATCGGCTTCAGGAGGTATATCCCAATCTGTGGATTGCTCTTCGTATTGCACTGACGCTCTGTCACAGTTGCCTCTGCTGAGCGAAGCTTTTCAAAGCTCAAACTAATCAAAACGTCATCAATGGGGCAGGAACGTTTAAGTGGTCTGGCTGTCATCAGCTCAGAAACTGTCATATTTTGCAGCTCGGAAATGCAGGCGTGTGCCTCTGTAGGGCCTTTGACAACTGATGGTAGTGAAAATGTTTGTAATGTAGTTCTATCGGATAGCAGAATGGTCTCTTTTATAGAGATGGTAAAGTAAATCCTACTGTGCAGTTTGTACTTATGTATGGTTATTTGCACTTTAAAATTTGCACATTATTATTATTATTATTATTATTATTTGTACTTATGTCTATTATTTACTGAAGAAATGTGCACATTATTACTTACACGGTTATATACTTGAATACTGCGTTTACATTGTTCAGTTCCAAATCTGTGTTTTTAGTAATTGTGGTGGTATTTGGTATTTATCATTTTATCTTTTATATAATTTATTTATTTTCATGTTTGGTCAAGTAAATTGTTTATGTTTAGAAGTTATTTGGGGAATAAAGAGAACCTAACTAAGAAATTCTGAATGGTTGTTATTCCTTTGGTGGTGGTGGTGGTTGGTTGGTTCGTTGGTTGGGGGGGGGGGGGCACCACCAAGCATTTGTGCTTAGGGCACCCAAATGGCTAGCGCCGGCCCTGCTTGCAATGATTGTAATAATACAGCAATTACAAATTTAGAATAGATCAGTAGTGAAATATAGTTTTTTTATCAATTTATTATATCAATAATATGACTATTCGGTTAAAAAAATGTTTCATCTTCTTTTTTTCAAATCTTTTTTTTAAATGTCAGGCCTATTGACCGATGATTATCCACACATGAAGTGAATCAGGCATATTAAAAACACATAACCAATACTTGAGTCAATTTGTTTGCGTTCTGGCAGTTTCATATAATATCAATTTGAAAAACCAATCAAAGCCCCCTACAGTCAGCACGGGATTGAGAATAACTCACACATTTTCCCGTCGCGTGACCGCGCGGCCGCCACGCTACCGAGCGAGCAGCTCGTGACTGCGCACGCACGGTACCGAGCAGCACGTAATCGGTGTCTCCCTCCGCTGTCGAGTATAAGCCGCCTGTCGCGAGCTCCACCGCTCACCACTGCCACTCCTCTCTCACACACACACACACACACACACACACACACACACACACACTTAGAGGCAGGTGCGTGTGTGTTTGTGTGCAACAGCGCACATTACCCAGCAGCAGGTCGGATAAATCCTGCAGCGTTTTGGATTATTTTTCTTAATAGATTTTTTAAATATATATATTTAAAACACCACCATTATGTTGTGGACGGCGAGTCAATTCGTCAGGAAATTCTCCAGCACGTCCGTGAGTAACGTTCCTTTTGCTGTAGCACAAAACGCGTACTGATAGACGGTTAAAACAATGTGAGGAGGTCGAGCCTGGCTACGGAGCAGTGAGCCACAGTTCATGTCGGGCTCGTCCCTGGTCGTCCTGCTCGCATATTGTCAGCTACCAAGCAGAGGACGGAGAACCGGTGAACCGCTCTGCCACGTTACCGTCGACCGCCCCCTCCCGGTACTGTAGCGAGCATGCACTGTACATGATGCGGAGGAGTTGCATCAGCCTGCGGGCTCTCCGCACTGTACACCGTCAGCGACCCCGCAGAGCTGCTACCTGAAGGCTTTGAATGCATCACAACCACGCGCGCGTGCTTAGAGGCCGCGAAACGACAGCGTCCAAGATGAGCGTGAGAGACCCGGAGCGTGCGTAACACGCGCGCTGCTGCGGGTGACAGGAGGGGTGCGCTTGAATCTTCGCCTTGTAGATCGGTGGCTGTGCGCTCGGTCCGTCGGCCAGCAGCTGAGAGGGAATCGGGGCGGACTGTGTGGTCCCCATCCCGCTGTCCGGTCGGTCAGCAGGAATTCATAACTTTGGGTTTTTGGACTGTGGTTCAGATACAAGAGGACTTCTGATGTGTCTTATAGACCAAACAATCCGTGGATCAATCACTCAAAAAAGAAGATCAATAATAAAAACATATTGGTTGCAGTGTTACTTAGTGAATACATAGTCAGGGATGTAGTTTGCAGTAACTGAGGCAGGTGTCCTTTTGTTTCAAGAAGCGGAGCTCTGACAGACTTAACTTGTTCAACTTAACCGTAAAGCTGCTCCTTGGTTTCATACGCCAATGTTATAATAATGATATCCGTCGTGACAAACGCAACCCTTAGAGAGAGGTGAAGTCCAGTAAAACTTATTCCGAAATGAATGTGAGCGCTGCTTTACGGCGGGGGGACAAATTGTTTTCAATTTGGTTAAAATCCGGTTTGAATTGCCAAACTGTACGTTGGTGTCCCTTTAAGAGATGTGTCTGAGGGCCGCTTTGGGCCCCCTGGTGCTCAGGGCACTATTATACATCTGCCAGCAGTATTTCCAGTGCTGCAGACTTACACTGGCTAAAGCTGAATCTAATGTGTGTGTTTGTTTTTCAGAATTGCTACCAGAATAAGCTTAATCTTGCTATAATAGGACAGAGCCTGTTCGGACAGGAGGTGTACATCAACCTGCGGAGGCAGGGTCACAAGGTGGTGGGCGTGTTCACGGTCCCCGACAAGGACGGCAAGGCCGACCCCCTGGGTGAGTTACCTCGGCCCGTGTCAGTCCACCTCCAGTTGCACTGAATCAATCAGAAACCCAGAGCAACTGCGCAGACATCATAAAATACCAGGTGTTATAAGTAGGAAGGGTGTGCGAGAACACTTGACTCACGGGACAAAGACAGAGTGTCACAGAGGGCACACACAGACATTTGGACAGGTGGCTCTAGTCGTGAGCGGAAAACACTCTCACTGTCTTTTACGAAAGTTCTCAGTTATTTGTTTTATTAGAGTAAGTTGTAAATATAAATGTATACTTAACTACCCAACAAGAAATAATCCCCAATGTGAACATTACAAGGCAGGGAGTCTTGGAAGTGACGGCCCCTGAAGATCCGGGTCCTGTGTGGGGCATCAGTAGGGCCTCGTGGTGCTCCTGGACAAAGACGCGCCTCTGTCCCGCGTTAGCTGCGGGATAGAGGCTCCATTGTCTGTGTGTGGGGAGAGGCCCCGTGTGGCCCCCCGTGATGCAGCTCCCAGGAGCTGGGCCCCTTTCAGCACTGTCTGTCTTCTGAAAATATTCCCATCTCTTCAACAAGTGGAAGGGCTCAACACCTTGTAGTCAAAATGTGCATTAAGAGTTTATTTATGATTCTTGCAATGCACATAGTTAGTATGGTCTGTAACCTCAGGGAAGTTTATTCCTCAGCACACAAACTGTCTACAGAGAGTCTCCATACCTACAATTTAAAAACCAAAGAAAGAAGAAAGATCTGAATAAAACATGTTATGTTTTATATAAATGTAAACATTCCTTTGGAGATAATTGCCAGTTGGAAAGAAAATACATTTGAATACACTCATTAGTGATCATGTGGATTGATAACACAGCTTAATGACAATGTGGACTAAAGTTTTTACTGACGATCGGTCAATAAAACATGCCATCAGGACATCGTCTATATTTTCCTAGTTGCTATTCTGATCATGTTGCATCAAGAAAGGAATTATTCTGTGTTTAAATATACAGGAGGAGAGCTAATTACGTTAGCAGCGCCGCTAATGGTTAACAAACAAATGTCACATTCAGTTACATTAAGATGCGTTCAAGAAGTTAAATTAAAAGAGTGTCGTTGGTGAGCATAGAGACTAGCTGCTAAAATAAAACAACAAAAGTACCTGTATCTGCCAGTGTGGATCATCATTGATCATCAATTAATATCGGCGGCAAAAAAAACAGGAATCACCTGGAAAGTTATAATCGTTTTTTTGCTGATCTGATCCGTGACAGATCTTTGATACCATCCAAACCATTAAGGGTTTATGATCCATTGCACCACCAACAACCATACATCAGCCTGATATACTTCAATGAAATAGTGTAACTAGTTTAAATATACCAACGTGTCATCAAGTCAGACTTGTTCTTTTAATCGGCTTTCCTTGGTTGGACACTAAAAGAGGACAATGTAAACCCAACCAGAAATCATTTAACTCACAATCTCCAATGTTGAAGAGTGAACGTGGATGAACACCGTTCAACGCCTTAACTCACCAATATATCTCCCATTTCCTCTTCATCTACAAATGCACTACACGTTAGAGTGATTAAATGACGACGATGAGCTAAAGTATCCAATGAATCTACTGGGCTTATTACAGAAGTATCGCTATGGTCATAAACCCTTCAGGAGGTTGCAGCGCTGCAATGCCACAGATGTTTGAGGTTATGTGGAAGCATTGTGAAGCATGACTGAATATTTATCTGTGAGGGAAAACGCTCTCGTGAGATTTCTGATTGAGACTTCTCCTTGAGGGAGACTACAGTACTCTCCCCACAGACTGAATGGACGTAAGCATCGTGAAGGTCATCACCATCTTTGAATATGGCTATCGCCTGCTTTATGATCTCTTGGACTCTAAACGGACCATCATTTACTAAACAAAGATCATGCTGTATTGAAGAAGACTTGTGACTAGAGATTGAGACCATCATGGACTCCCCTCTTCTCTTTCAGCTGTGGCGGCGGAGAAGGACGGGACGCCGGTGTTCAAGTTCCCGCGGTGGCGGGTCAAGGGGAAGCCCATCCCGGAGGTTGTGGAAGCTTACAAGGCGGTGGGCGCCGACCTCAACGTCATGCCCTTCTGCTCCCAGTTCATCCCCATGAACGTCATCGACGACCCCAAGCACGGCTCCATCATCTATCACCCTTCCCTCCTGCCCCTGCACAGAGGAGCTTCGGCCATCAACTGGTGAGGAGGAGGAGGGGGGGGAAACAAGGGAACCCAACCTCACATGACGGTCCAACTATGGCAGTCCGCCAGGGGAACACGATTCATTTACCTTGCGTGTGGTAACTGCAGCTCATTAACAAAAAGAATGAATGACATCAATGCTTACAAGTCAAGCCGTGAGGGGCATACACACTTAAAAGCAAGTCTCACGGCTGGAGTGGCCACAGCTCATAATACATCAGGGTCAGTGCAGCTGTGTGACCCCTTGAATGCCTCGTTTGTCCCGTTTCAGAACGACCCGAATGTATCGGACAATGCGTTTCTCCAAAAGCGGGTTTGGTTATTTGTGCCTTTTTTTAGATCAGAATGTGTAAGGTTAGAGAGCCCCATATGTGTTTTATTTAATTAAACAATATCAGTGTTATGAGTCTGCAATAATACAATTTTGACTGTTAATTCTGAAGGCCTGAGGGCAGATTACTTGGCCCCTTTCACCACATGATGGCTGAAATATGATTGGATGAAAGCTCAAACATAAAGGTCAGCCCTCCAAATCTTGACCCGAGGCTGGAAGCAGCACAAGCGAGAGAGCTATGAAACAAGGAGAATAGAATATGGGGAATAAATTGATATATTCCTGTAAAGAATATGTATCAAAATATAAATTATATTCTGATGATGTTTAGGGAGACAGAGAAGGTCATGCTAGCCTGCCTCTGGTTATACCTGGATATGTCAAGACTGTTGGCTTTACGTGTCTATGCTTCTCTGCTGAGAACACCGGAGCCTGGAACCCAGACCGCTCATCTGTTAGTTTTTCACGAGGTAGCTTCGTCTGCCTTTGACTTTGTTCGTTCCCCTTACAACAGCTTAACGGGTATAAGTGCAGAGTTCACAGGCCATAGACCCCCATGTGTTCCAGGTCAGAGAAGAGGTGGGGGGGTTGGCTGCTATCTGTCAGTGTAGTGAGAGGTTTAAACCAGTTCTGTTTGACCCTAAACTCCTAACCAGCTGCTTTTCTTATCTCTCCCTCTGCAAGTCTGTTTGTTCTCCGCCCTTACTATCGCTCTCACTCTGGGTAAAAAAAGTTCAATTATGTAAACAGAAATTTTCCATTCATACCACTGGTGACATAACTACCAGCTGCTGAAGAAAGAAGGGAAACGAAAGAACAGAAAAAACCTGTTCTTTACCAGAGTAAGATGTGATGTTATAAATGGAGCTGAAGCCAGGAGGCGCTGAGGGTGACGGATTGGCTTCGCTAGTGCCAACAATTTAATAACCACACTTAACTCCCTTTTCAAATACACACATATATATATATATATATATATATTTTTTCTTTTCTTCTTTTTTTCCAGTGCGATTCCTTCAGTCTGATGCGCTTAGGGTGCAATTGGCTTTCATTGAATTCTGCTCCATTTGATCGGGCTTATGGCCAACTTGACATCCTATATGTATATTGTATTAGCATTTCAAGCAGCTACTCTTAGTACTAAAATGGGATATTGTGTGTCACCAGGACCCTGATCCACGGCGATAAGAAAGCTGGATTCACAGTGTTCTGGGCTGACGAAGGGCTGGACACCGGACCCATCCTGCTGCAGAGGGAGTGTGCTGTGGAGCCCAACGACACCGTGGACACCCTCTACAACCGCTTCCTCTTCTCAGAGGGCATCAAGGCCATGGTAACCACCTGGCATTAATATTTTAGATGAATTACTAAAATATTTTTAGTAATTAATTTGATCACATATCCAGTGTTCATACTGTTTTTACTGTCCATGTTGTCATGCTTGTTATACTACGCATACCAATATTTGTATTTATTTATCCCTCATTCATTCATTTATGTTATTTATCTAGCACATTGCACTTTTGTTTAAATGCAATAACAATACAGTTTAATCTAATCTAATAATGAGCGAAATCAAGAGTCATCAACACAAATTAAACATAAACTGTGTTTTGACACACATACACCCTGACACTGTTCCCTGGTGCAGGTGGAGTCGGTTCAGCTCATTGCTGACGGGAAAGCCCCTCGGATTCCCCAAACAGAGGAAGGAGCGAGCTACGAGGGCATTCAGAAGAAGTCCAACTCCAAGGTGAGAGAGGCCTCACTTCCACTTGTCAGATAGTGAAATAGACAGTAGACTTTTCACTCGTTCACCGTGGACTTTGTCGAGCAAAAGGAAACTTAAGACGTAAACAAATGTCTTGCCAACCCTTTCAATCTCTCTTGTCTCTTTTGCATATTGGAAAAGTGTAGGTTCGTCTTTCTAGGCCTTGCGGTTAATTGGTGCATCAACACAGCTGAAGGGCATCTGGTGCTGGCAGTCAGGGAGAAAGAGAAGAGGGTCTCAGTAGCAGGGGTCCGTCACAGCTGCGAGGAGGTGGCAGTGTCCATCTTTAATGCAATAAAAGAAAACAAAAATAGATATAAGTGTTTTATTTTTTCATTCAAAGGAAAAATATATATAAAATCATCAAGGATTTCTAAATGAAAAATGAATTAAAATTTAAATGAAGAACCTTTATATTTTCACCTCTCCCAATTTTTTCAAATCTCCTTTCCTGAAGCCTCATGGAGCAGGATGTTTCCATAATAATGTCTTTATGAATGCTTTGGACGGCGTGTCTAGATCAAGTCATTTATTTGTATTAGCATTTCAAGCAGCTACTCTTAGTACTCACTAAATTGTGTTGTAATATTTCTCTGTGTTGAATCTAGATGGGCAACATTTTCCCCCCCTTAATTAATTTAAGTTAAGTAGTTATAGTATGTGCATGAATCTAATTTACTTTGGGTTAGGCCCCAAACACGTGGAGGTGGTTGGCCTCCTGCAAGCCACAGTTCCTCCAGCAGCCTTCTGAGCAGGTGTGTCCTGAGCTTGATATCCACCATTTTATCAGGATCCTGCATTTATGTTCCCAACAAATGTAAATGCTTACTAAATAAATAGATGAATGGGGCCCAGCAGTGCCATGTATGTAAGAATGAGTGGCTGGCGGCTGTTTATTCCATAAGAAGAAAGACAGAGGCGGGGCTGGTCTTAGCCGCTCTTTGATTGGCCCGTTGGAGCCACGTTTTCTGGCAGTGAATCTAGATGTGCTATTCTTGGTGCAGCATCGGTTTTCACCGCATGCCACCCAGCAAGAGGCGACCAGCTGCTGCGCTTCCCTCTGATTCTCAGAAACCTGGGTGACCCGGTCTGGAAATCAATCTGACTCGTCAGCATGTCTCTCTCTCTCCCTCCCCGCAGGTTAACCTGGCCCAACCGGCCGAGGCCATCCACAACTGGATCCGCGGACATGACAAAGTCCCTGGTGCCTGGACCCTCATAGATGGTCAGGTGTGTTTTCCTGGAACACAAACCAGCGCTCGCACACACACAAACAAACAAGCGCACGCACACATGGTCTCTCAGTGTATTGTGAGGTCAGACTGATATGTGTCCTACTTTTCATAGCATTATCATTTGTTTACATAATACTGTTTCATTATAAAGGTAAGAGTAAAATTAAAAAAATAATACATTTAAAAAGTTAAATGAAGGAAGGGGAGGAACCTCTAAGCTGATAAATCTCTGAATTAAGAAAAAAAGTATTTTTTAATAAAATAATAACAAATATAAGTAGAAATAAATGCATATAAATATTACCAAATAGGCAAAAACAAAAACTATTACAAATATATATCACGTGCTGTGCATGCCGTTACTGATACTGATACTGGCTATTTTGTTAAAACAACATTTACAGGTTTATTAATTTCAAACTCAAACTTCAATACATTTTTCCTCGTGACCTTTATGGTGGAGCCAGGCTAGCCGTCTTCCCTAGTTTCCAGTCATTTTGCTAAGCTAAGCTAACTGGCGCTAGGTTAATATTTAGTGTGGAATCTCCTCTGGACTATTAGCAAGAAAGAAAAATGTTCCGTTTCAAAAGGGTCAGCTGGAGAAAACCTTTAATTTCCCACATCCAATGAAGAGGGCCTTACTGAAACAGGGTTTGTTTGGGTTTCTATTGTTCTAGCTTCATGAACCTGCAGCCTATTTTTTCAAATAAATAAAATATCAGATGGAAATCCTCCGCCTGCTCTTCCTCAGTCTGTGACCCTGTACGGCTCGTCCATGCTGGGCGGGTCTGTACCTGCCGGTCAGCCCCTGGAGATTGAGGGGGCGTCCCAGTCCGGCCTGGTCACCCAGAACGGCCTTGTGCTGTACGGAAGCGATGGGAAAGCCGTGAGTTCTGTATACAAACACTGGGTTCAGAGACATCTAAAGGCTGCTTCAAATCCAACGTATGTGTGGAGGATCCATTCCTGTGTTTGGGCCCTAGCTCCTGGTGAAGAACCTGCAGTTCGAAGATGGGAAGATGATCCCTGCCTCTAAATACTTTTCCTCTGGGGAAAGTGCCACGGTGGAGCTGACCGATGACGAAAATAAGATGGCTGAGGAAATCAAGGCAAGTTCCATGGCGAGGATTTTGTTTAGTAGCTGGCTTCCACACGGGAGCTTCTGCTTCTCTTCAATAATGCGCTGTGGTTTTCTGGCTAATCCAAGCAAGTGAGACTGACTGAGAATGATTTCATTTATCACAGAACATCTGGAAGGGCATCCTAAGCAATGTCCCTGCCATTGAGGACACCACAGACTTCTTCAAGTGCGGAGCCGCCTCCATGGATGTTGTTAGGTGAGGGAAGAGGCCGACGCAGTGTTAAGTCAATTCATTTTATTTTGTATAGCCGAAACATATATAATATATCAAGTTTGCAATAGTTCCAGTTAAACATTGAACCAAACATTTTATTTTTACAGATACAAAAAAGCCAAAATGTGGTCTTCAACAAACCAGGAAGGGCTTGTTTTTAGCATAGCATTTAGGGGGGTACTCCCCCTTAATTGAATGATTAAGAGGGAGGGAAACACTGGCGTGTCAGTTTCATCACTTGCCTCTACCGTTGGTTAAGAGGAGTGAGTGGTCAGCATATATATATATATATCAAAAGGGTATATATATATATATTTATAAATGTGTTCACTGTGAACCCTTGTAATGGCCAGAGCTCCAGTCCTAAATGACTATATGAAATATTAAGATGATGGGTCAAGTAGTGTGTGACATTAGCTGCAAACAGATAAACACACACATGCACACACCCACAGGCAACTGAACACACAATCTCTGGCTTACTTTTGACAGATAAAAAGAATAATATAGGGAATTCTATTTTCAAATAATACCTAAGAAATAAGGTATGCAACCCCATGAATTATTCTAAACTCACTTTGATCCAAACAAAACTTCTGTGCAAACTGTAACTGTCTGTCGTGTGCAGGCTGGTGGAGGAGGTGAAGCAGAAGTGTGCCGGCGTCCAGCTGCAGAACGAGGATGTGTACATGGCTTCAACCTTCAGGGACTTCATCCAGATGTTTGTCCGCAAGCTGCGAGGGGAGGACCAGGAGGAGGAGCTAGTCATCGACTACGTGAGTGTCATACATTATTATGTGGCAGTGGGACTGGGTGGGCTGATTTACATTCAAAGTGGGGTCAGACTTCCAAACAGGTAACAGTTTGTGCAGTGATTGTTGTACTGCTACTGTTGTATTTTATCCAGGCAACAAAGGAAGTAAACAACATGACAGTGAAGATGCCAAACCAGTGTTTCATCAACGGAAAGTTTGAGGATGCAGAAAACGGCAAAGTCTACGAAACCATCAACCCTACTGACGGATCAGTGAGTTACTGTTGTACCAATCCACACACAGAGACAGCTACACACACTCACGGAAAGTTTGATTCTCTTAGTCATCATCGGACCGCGTGACATTACGTCCTTCCTCAGGTGATCTGCAAGGTGTCGTACGCCTCGGTAGGGGATGTAGATCGAGCTGTGGCGGCTGCCAAAGATGCGTATTACAGCGGGCCGTGGGGTAGGATGAACCCAAGGGACAGAGGCAGCCTGCTCTACAAGTGAGTAGCTCCACCTAGGGGACTGCAGTTGGACTGCACAACGCACATGACACAACCCGTATTTCTGGGGCTTCATCAAGGTGTTTCTGCCTACATGCAGAAGTCAGAAAAATGTTGCATAAAGCTATATGACAGGATGTGTATCACATGCTGTGTTCGATTTTATAGTCTTCATATACATATACAGTATATATATATATATATATATATATATATATATATATATATATATATATATATATATAGATAGGTACTAATATAGCGGACTAATAACCAAACTATAAATCGATTGGGGACTGTTGAGTGTCTTTGTGACGCAAGAGCTGTTAGTGCTCTCTAACCCGCAAGCTGTATCCAAGGGGGTAGAAGAAGTTTTCCTTCTTGGTGACCTGCGGAAGTGAGGACTGTGGGAGCCGGACGTCTCTGGAGCACTGGAGATTTGTAAACGTAAAAGAGCTACGTCCTTTATTCTGGTGGTTTTATACCAAGAGTCTTAAGCTACTGCGCAAGTTTGTTTAGGTTCTCTCATTCTTTATGTCAATGGTGTGATATGATATTTTAGATATTAAAATTCAAACTAAATGTTAAGTTGGGTGAAAGAATGATTTTGGCAAAAAAAAAGGCACCTGTGGCGAGAGGACTTTAGAATGACTTTTGGAATGGTACAGTTTAGTTAGGTCCTTGTCTCTCATGTCCCCCTCCCCAGGCTGGCAGACCTGATGGAGGAACACCAGGAGGAGCTGGCCACCATTGAGTCCATCGACTCAGGAGCTGTGTACACGCTGGCCCTCAAGACCCACGTGGGCATGTCCATCCAGACCTTCCGATACTTTGCCGGCTGGTGCGACAAGATCCATGTGTGTTTAAAGTTGGATCTCACAAACACACACATACACTGCAGTTTTAACTGATTTAACGGATGATGATACAAGAGGCCCAACATAGTTTCTCTGTTTCAGGGCAAGACGATCCCCATCAACCAGGCCAGACCCAACCGTAATCTGACCTTCACCAGGAGAGAGCCTCTGGGGTAAAAGACCTGGGTCTTACCCACGCCTCACACCTTGCTGACGGCGATTGTGTGTTTTTTTACTCTTGTGTCTTTTCCCTGTATCAGTGTGTGTGCCATCATCATCCCGTGGAACTATCCCCTCATGATGCTGGCGTGGAAGAGCGCCGCCTGCCTCGCTGCGGGGAACACGCTCGTCCTCAAACCCGCGCAGGTGAGACACGCTGTAGCAATAACGCACTGTTACCAATGTTCCAGATGAACAGCGTCTGTTGAGTGTCTCATGCATTATCCCCAAATATTTACAGGTCACGCCGTTGACGGCGCTGAAGTTTGCTGAGCTGTCGGTGAAAGCAGGCATTCCAAAAGGAGTCATAAACATTTTGCCAGGTTCAGGTAATGAACACAAATTCAGGACCAAATACAATCTGACTAATAATAGTGGTACCAAACATCGGTCACTTGTTAAAGGAACAGTGTAAAGGAATTAGGAAGGTCCATTTCTTGAAATGGGATAAATTATGAGACTGCAATTCGGAAGCAAAACGTGCGGCACAAGGATACGTATATAATAGTGCTGTCAGTTAAATGCGTTGTTAACGGTGTTAACGCAAACCCATTTGCATTTTTTTCTCGCGAGATGAACTTTTTTAATGCTTTACATGTTGTGACCCAGCTACTTGATCCTGTTTGAGGGACAGTCCTACAAATGTCACTCACAAAACATCTAGAAAAGAAAAGAAATCCAGCACCCCTCCATCTTGTAGTATAAACTCAGCACGACAGCATAACAACATATGATTGTATTTTAAAATAATTTACATCAACATTTAAACCGTTTTTTTCCAAGTACATAGAAAACACTAACCCTTAATCTGAAATGTGCACTTTATCATTTTATTTTGTGCCGCCCTGTTTGGCAGTGTTGTTTTTCAATAAAATATTTGCATAAAGCAAGCCAATGCACTTTTCCATGTTGGTAAGAGCATTAAAATAAAAAATCAACGAAGGGACATTTAGAATAGATACAAATTTGCGATTAATTGTGATTAATTTTGAGTTAACTATGACATAAATGTGATTAATCGTAATTAAATATTTTTATCAAGAATTCCAAAAAAGAATAGAATTAAAGAATTCCCCACAAAAACTAACAGTGAATGTATGTATAATAACCGCCATATCTCTCCTTTGATATCCCCATCGATTAAAGCACATCAGCCTCACGTTGGTTGGTTGTAGTCTTTTATGGTATCCATTGACAAAAGGAATAATCATCAGTAACACGTCCTGTCCTCCAGGTGGTATGGTGGGACAGCGTCTGTCCGACCACCCGGACATCCGTAAGCTGGGCTTCACTGGCTCCACACCCATTGGCAAACAGATCATGAAGAGGTATCAGCTGACAAAGTCATTACTCGCTCAACTTAAATGTCTGGTGAAACATCATGCTCCTTCTTTTGTCATGCGTGACTTCCTGTTGCAGCTGTGCGCTCAGCAACCTGAAGAAGGTTTCTCTGGAGCTGGGGGGGAAGTCGCCACTCATCATCTTCGGTGACTGCGACATGGACAAGGCGGTTCGCATGGTGAGAGAGAGCGAGCAGGGGGCCCCTTAATGGTTTTGCTGGGGGATTATCACCATGTTAGTGATGAAACAATTAGTCAATTGATACAGGTTCACCTCAAATTTGGTATTATTGATCAACATTTGTGATTCCAGGTTGTCAAATGTCCAGATTTGCTTTTTTCTATTGTTTGAATTGAATATGTTTTTTCTACGCACGTTTTTTTTCAAACAAAATAAAAGATTTCACCTTTTTATCAAATTTCATTTTTCAGAGACAAATGTATTCATTAAATGAGTAGAATAACAATGAAGTATAATATATATCAGTATACAGTGTCTGTCCATAGTGATGACTGACAGCTTTCATGATCAAAGTAAATACTATAATGATAATTTAAAACATATCTTCATTTAATGCATTTCAATGGTCAACGAAAGCTGTAGCTGTGCCCGAGAAATTAAGCTCAAGAAAATCTTGTTGTGTGTCTGCTTCACAGGGCATGAGCTCTGTGTATTTCAACAAAGGGGAGAACTGCATCGCTGCTGGACGTCTGTTTGTGGAGGAGTCCGTTCACGATGAGTTCATCAGCCGAGTGGTGAGTGACGCGTGAGACTGGTGCAGGAGAACACAAATGACACAGCCTTGATTGCACTTCTCTTGCAATCAGTGGTTTCCTGTTGAATGGATTTTATTTTGGATGCCATGATTAGGGTTATTTCATTGAGTTTTGCCCTACAAGATAAAATATGTCAGAAAATATTCCACTCAACCTTTTTGCTGTGGGAACCAGAGCACTGCTAACTTCCGCATTGAACTCCAAAGATGTTATATGTGCGGCCCTCTACATAGCAAATTACTTCCATATAGTTACCAAACGTACTACCTTACTTCCCATAATGCAATTGGATATTGTCAGTTTGAGCAGAAACAAACATTAACCTCTCCACCCTTTCAAAACTAAGGTGGAGGAGCTCAAAAAGATGAAGATTGGAGACCCGCTGGATCGCTCCACAGATCACGGCCCACAGAACCACAAAGCCCACCTGGACAAGCTGCTGGAGTACTGCGAGGTTGGACTGAAGGAGGGAGCGACACTAGTGTACGGAGGGAAGCAGGTGGAGAGGCCAGGTAGAAAACACGCGCAATGTCTCTAGCTAACGGGACTCTTTTTCTGCCTAGTCAGGACACGATGTTGTAAACTAGCACAGTGGATTGTTTTGGTCATCCTCTCTTAGCCTACCGTCCAGGAATGGGTCCTTAACATCATTTTGAAATGAGCTTTTATACTTAACTCTTAAATGCTCTTGTAGCTGTGACTACAGTGTAAGCTACTGATGGGCAGGGTCCACTGTGTATGGTAGCTCCTGTCATCAGTGTATGAATGGGTGTAAATGGGTGCATGATGACGCGTAATGTTGAAGCGCTTTGAGTGGACAGAAGACTAGAGAAGAGACTTACATGTTTTTTGTTTCAGGTTTTTTCATGGAGCCCACAGTGTTCACTAACGTGGAGGACCACATGTTCATCGCCAAGGAGGAGTCCTTCGGCCCAATCATGGTAGTGTCCAGATTCAAAGATGGGTGAGTCTTCATAAACTTGCTGTCAATGCTACAGGTCCGTTCAAGATGCTGACCGGTGTTCTCTTTACCTCCGACAAACCCCAGCGACGTGGACGGCGTTCTTCAGAGAGCCAACGACACTGAGTACGGCCTGGCCTCCGGTGTGTTCACCCGAGACATCAACAAGGCCATGTACGTGAGCGAGCGGCTCGACGCCGGAACGGTATTCGTCAACACCTACAACAAGACTGATGTGGCTTCACCTTTTGGGGGCTTCAAACAGTCCGGCTTTGGCAAAGACCTCGGTGAGTAGGGACACCAATAGCATCACAGGCAGAAGAATAGAAGGTTGTGTTCATTTCCTAATGTTTTAATCATTTTTATTCTATATTTATGCTATATTGACAGGGTAAAGTTTACACATCAAGGTCGGGCCCCTAGTTGTAATTAACAGCAGGTGGATAGGTCAGTCCTATAGAGCTATAGAGTAATTTATAAGTGAGTAATGATAATATGGTAGCCAATTCTGCTATTTTGAATTAATTACTTAATTACAAATAATAAAATTAATGACCTTGTATTGCTTCACAATGACGGCATTTTAAACTTGATCAGAGGGAGGAATAGATTTAATCACAACTGAAACCAGTGATCCCCCTCAAGGAGACACAAGACAGAAGGGTTTATGAAGAGGATTACTATATTTACTATAAATTCTTTATTCTTTAAATTTTCATACAGGATACTTCAACCTCTTAGTGGGCTCTAAAAATCAATCAAATCAAATATGACAAATCAAAACCCCTGTTAAAAGAGTTCATCCAGAAGCAGCATCCAGTGATCCTTGTTCTGTTGTTGGTGTGGTCCACAGGAGAGGATGCTCTCTTGGAATACCTCAAGACCAAAGCGGTGACTGTGGAGTACTGAGGCTCACACTCTCCCAACAAACTCTGACCCACATCCAAACCAGGAGGGACTCGTATGTCTGCTTCAGTCAGACATCCAGCTTTACTCAGCATCGCCCATCTGTGTAGCTTATACATGGAACCCTAATAGGAGCCGAGCTGGTTCTGACTCTTTTCAAGGTTTTGTTTCCATAGGAGCTTTTTTTTACATCAAAACATAGTTGTCATCCTGAAAAGTGTTTTCCTGTTGTTGTTATTGTTAATCATTTCAATCAGTTCAGTAAAAAATTAGAAGATGGTCATGCAACACTGCCCATGCTCTGCCTGAAGGACTAACGATGAGAGGTTCATGTGGTCAGCAAACCAATCATAAGTAGGTAAAGCTATTGGTGGTTGAGATTGATCATTGACATGATGGGAAAACGGGATTTGGGTCAAAAGGCAAGAGTTACATTTGAATCTAGATTAAAGCAGTTTGTAAGAATAATCTCAGCTCAAGGACCATTTACAAGGGTTTTAACTAAAGTTTTTCAACAGCGCATTGTGGTTTTAATCTTGTGACATTGTTGTCTAAACCTAACTTTACAGTTATTTTAATTCTATTTGAAGATTGCATTTCGTGAGGATTTCTGCAAGGAGACAGTGTTGATCGTTTTTACCAGCAGATAGTTGCAGTCAAAAGCTTGTTGGAAAGCCAGTAGGCTCTTCAGACCCCTTCAGACCCCGGAAACAAAACCGCCGCTATATGCAGTCAGTTAGGCAGGAGAGGGCGAGGCGTTAGCTGGAGATGAAGAGAGCTTTTTGCATTGGAAGTAAAACAAACAGGTTCAAGATACAACAGAGAATTGTGCAGAGGAATTACTCTACGTGTCAAACAGAAGGTGGCAATCGGATCACTTTAGCCACTGCTAGGCTTAGCTAGCTGCTAAGCTAAGCTAGCTAGTAGGCTACTTCCATCTCAACATCTACCTTGTGCGGCACACAGTCTGAAGAGGACCACCACTGTGTCCCTAAAGGACAAAGGTTTGGAAAAGGTCCTGGCTAAATGTGGGGAGATTGTTGGCACTTCAAACACAGCCGTCAAATAATGCAGAGTTGAAAGCAAAGTGCACGAGTCGCTGCCTGTGTTTTGTGTTTAAAATACACGTTTTCTAAAGTGATTAATCATTACTTTTACAATTTAGTCTTTAGAAGAAAAACAAACTTTTAAGTGACTGTTGATGAAAATGTGCAATTAATTAGCTTTTTTTTTTTAATCTATTGACAGCCCTAGTATACACAGTATGAAAGTTTTTTCCGGAACAAGTGATAACACACTTACCTCCAAGGTTTTTCAGGAGGAGTTAAAGTCTAATATTTTTAGATTTGTTATAATTTTTTTTAAATGCAAGTTGAAGAACCATACTTTTAGAATGATCTCATCCTTGACACATACATTTCACTTATGTATATAAAACATTATTTAGAGACTTGAAACATGGTTGAATCAGTTAGTCTATTAGTTAAATCACTTCAGACATTCAGTTTTTTAACAATTTGAAGGAAAATGATTCTATATATTTTTGTCAGACAAGACCGTTCAGATACAATACTACATTTGTTAAGGACATAACAGCAAGATGTTTTTTTATGTAGGTTTTTTATCTAATCTAATCTATAGTTCAACTCAAATATGTAGAAAAAATAATAGCCCTCTAGCTGTGTACTAGATCAGAACTGCGTCTATAGCAAAGGTCTATTATTCATGGCAGCGTTCGGCTCTAGAGAAATAACTGCCGTGGAAGCCTTAAATTCTACCAACCAGAATGGAGTATTCGACCAAGGTGCCTAATAAGCAGGCCTGCTGTGAGGAAGTTGCAAGAGTAGTGTTTTTTATCTGTTCCACATTATCAGTAGAAGCATCAAGGGCTAAGAAGCAGATGTTTTGTTTTCTCGACCTGCGAAGGAGGTGGGATGTGTCCTTTCAATACCAGAATGTCCTCAGCCAGTAATGTCATTCAAGGGTAAATACACTTTGCTTGGAATTTGACTGTGTGATGGCTGTGACTCATGAGACAACATGCAAACATCCTGCCTGGTGGCAGGACAGAGTGGTGCTAATTACTCAGGAAATATGTTGAGTAGATCAAACACATTTAGTAGTGTCCCTACATTTGATGAATAAACGCTTCCTGCAGAAGACATTGTAGAGGAAACTGGGAGGTAAATACGTTTGGTAATCACACATTAGTGAGCTTCAAGGTATAAAAAACTGCTTCAGATGCTGCTGGATGATCTCTGGTCCGTCTTGTCAGTTTGGGAGGACGGCCTTCTGTTGGTAGGTTTACGGTCGTGCCATATTCTCCATTTGATGGATTTTTATGGTGCTCTGAGAAATTTTATAACCTAGTTCACAGGTTTCAATTACAGAAAACTATCACTTACTTAATGGCTTCAATTAAAAAAAGTGAAAGGTGGCTGGGCTCTAAAGCTCAGATGGGACGTCAGCCACACTCTATACAAATATGTAAAGAACAGAAGGAATCTCGACTCAGGTGTGTTTTTGTTTGAAAAATGAACCGTATTGCATAGAACTTTGATTCCTGCGTGTACTTCAAAGATCACAAAATCAACTGGCCAACATTTCTCTGTGAAGTGGACACATCGGTGTCCCACAGTGAATGATCAACACCTCTAACCCAGAAGTAACATATTTTGGACTTAAATGAAACCACTATTATTCTCTTCAACACAACCGTAAAATAGTTTCAAAATCTTATAAATGTATAGAGGTCAAATGGTTTGAAGTTTTCTCCCCTGGAAACTAATTTGTCTCTTTAAAATAGTCATCAATAAAAGTAATAGACACAACCAAAATGCATTAGATATTTTATTTATAACCAAATTACAGGAGAATGAGGTATTGATTAAAAGTTACTGAGAAGAACACTGCCTCTTTCTGAATGTCACTAAATAAGATAAAATCAAAAGGATTTCTGGGCGTTACTTCAAAGTGCAAAAAAGATCAGATATCAACAGGTATGTATTCATTTTGAGAACTTATTAGAGAACCTCACACAATGTAAACACATAAATACAACTGTGCACATTGAATGGATGTGAAATATCAAACAGCCAATTGTTGTATTGGGTACATCCCTACGCAACTTCCTGGCCAAGCATCTGGATTCCTAACTGAACGAATTACATAAATACAAAATAGTTTTAATAAATTTGAAAAAGGCACCAGTAGCAAAGTACGGACATAATGATTTCAATGTAACATAATGAAGAAAAGAGGTAACTTTAACTGAAACGGTCCGACTCGTCACACCAAGTGAACCAGACAACATGGTATTGAATTGTTCTCCAACACGTCAGAGGAATCCGTCCACGTGGATACAGCGCGGTAGTTTCCCATGTTCGTCCAGCAGATCAGAGCTGTGTCTCATGGAAGCACAAAGCCAGTCACCTGAACAGATGCAACAAGTGGGGGGTGGACAGCCTGGTGTCCAATCACATCGGGCTCAATGAGCGGTCCGCTGAGGTCACCACAGCGTCTCTTCTGGCTCCGCGCCCTTAACATAATATCTACAGATGTTCCTATGGCCTTGCGCCCCCACACAGGAACAATTGTGGAGTAAAAGCCCTGCGGATGCTTTCGGGTCAATTTGGTCCACGTCACCTCAAGAGGATAAAGAAGCTAAATATGAAGACAGTCTGAGCGCACGGTTTCTCTACTCTCCCTGCTGATGGAGAACCTGGATGTTGACTTTCTTCTTCTTGCCTTTTTCACCGGGCAATATGAGGCTCTTCTTCATGACCTCGCTCCCCTCATCAGAGTCAGACTCCTCCTCCTCTGAAGTCTCCTCCTCCTCTTCGTCGCCGTCTTCGGAGTCGCTGAGCTCCACCAGCGCCACGTCCTGAAGGATAAGAGGGTGACTTTGGTACCACACATGATGCAGCGACATACAACGTTCATATCAGGGCGTTTCTGGTCCGACCGAGGGAGGCAGCCTGACTCACCATCTCTATGACCCTCTCCGCCTCCCCCACGTCCTCTATGTCAAAGTGTCCGGCTGGAGCGTCGTCCATCTGCTGCTTCAACTTCTCGTTGGCCGCGGCCATCTGGGGCAGGAAGCTCTGCAGTCTCTCAAACACTGACACACAACAACGAGGCACATCATCACACCTCTGGCTCAATGGGGGTTTGTTACGAGACCCAGTTCACAAATATGCAGGGATTTGTCTTTTAAAAAGGCTGTGACGTTCATCTGTAATGTTGATGTTGAGCAACCCAACGTGTCAACCAAGTTTGTATGTGGATTTAAGGACAAAACAGATAACAAAAACTACATTTAAAAGACAAATGCACAGAAGAAGATACGGCGCTTTACTCCAAATATCTACTACAATCGTAGCAACTTCATAGTATGTTATTTAAAATGAATTACCACAAAGATGAGTAGTCTGAAGTTAGCAGATAGTCGTTGGACCGATTACAAAGACTTCATATAATGAGGAAAGGAGAACAACCAACGCTGAACTCAGTAAGAGTAAGGAGCTGATTGTTGGTTTTTAGAAAAAAGGAGGTGAAGTCACACCAGTCTACGTCAATGGAGCCAAGTCAGCAGCTTTAAGTTCATGACAACCTGACATGGTCGCCACACATCACGATACTGGTGAAGAAAGCTTATAAACGTCTGGATTTCTGAGGGGAAACTTGGGTTTAATGCTAGTTGACTTTTACAGAGCCGCCGTAGAAAGCTTTCTGACTACATGACGACAACATTACAAGAAGGCCCAGGACCTGAGGCTCTACAGCGGGGGATTAAAACCAGCCAGAACATCACTGGTTCATCTAAAGAGCATTAGTGATGCTGGCGAGAAGAGGATCCTGAGATTTCACAACACATTACCAGCCACAACATGTTCAGCCTGCTGCCGTCTGGAGAGAGAGCATCACTATGAGAATAGCCCCTGCCAAACCACCAGACCGTCTAAACTCTTTAATTCATCCTCCACATACAATACTGCCGTTTGTCAATATCAAATGTAAATTTCACTCTGCACCCCCCCCCAAAGAAAAAACAGAGCGGAGTCCCTGAGCAATGGGAAGTGGCGTCTGGTCTCACCGCTGCTCCGCGGGACTCTCTCCGTCTGCAGGGACCTGCCAGCCTTCGGCTTGAGGAGGAGCTTCTCACTGAGACCTAACAGCAAGGCCAAAAGGTAAACACATTTTGTTGGAGTTTCAAATAAAACTCATTTCATTGTTTGAAGGTTATACGGCTATGATTCAAAACGTATGTTTATACAGCATTTTTATTATTGGCAGGGGATTCTTTAAAACAACTTGTCTGATGGTATACATAATGTTGGAAGATTAATCTGTTGGGTGGACGTTGTATATATATATATATACACACACACATACACACACATATATGAAACAAAATATGCATGTATAAATATATATAACTGTCGGAAATGTTTTTTTTCTTTGATAATAATAAACTGTAAAGAGCATTGCTGTCAAGTGTATAATAAAACATTTTGGAAGCCCTAACAATGTCTGACATTCTTATATGATAAGGTGCTCAGATATTGAGGAATGTTTAGCTTGACAAAAACATTACCAGCTCTATGGAGAAATATACGCAGACAGATGGAACGGTCCTCATGTTCCTGAAGATATAGTTTCACATATATTATTGAATATTTATTCAATTCTGGTGTTATGGCGCTAAAAAGTACTGAATTAAAAGTATTGTATCTTTTCTTAATTAACCCTTTGCATTTTTTTTCATCAATACGTCGGCTAATAAAACCATTCAAACCTTCTCCGCTCCCGCAGGACAGCAAAGCCTGTGAGCTCGTTTTCTTCATATTCAAGTCCATTTCTGAGGCGACGCGACCAGTGTTTGCAGCAACATGTGTTCCCTGTGAGATTCACATCCGGGTCACACGGCAGAGCGAGGCGGAGCTATACGAGCGATGACCCGCACAGCGGCCTCTGGTGCTTCGGAGGACTTCACCGAACTGGACCGCCAATAGACTATGGCCGTTTCTCAATACCTAAGACGGCGAGAACGGACTCGCGTTCCCGCGAGAATAGACTCGGGAGACAGACTCGGGAGTCCTGACTCACGGGTACGGGAGAACGGAGAACGGACATTTCCGCAATTGGAACAGCAGCTGACTTGATGACGTCACCACAGTAGGCGGTCTTTGTTTACGCACGCAAGTATCTCATCTGCCATCGCAGCTTGCTGAGGTGAAATGCATTCTGGGATATATGTCTCTCACAAGAACAGACGAGCCTGCTTCGATGCATGCCCGGTAAAATGGGCGGGGCGAGTCACATCCGGGTATTATGACCGTTCTCGGCCAGATGCGGACTTGAGAATTGGAACAGTACTCGGGCTGTGACTGATGACGTTTCACGAGTCCACGAGAACAAAAGTCCACACAAGAACGCATATTGAGAAACGGCCAATGAATATGCACAATACACAACGAGTTATGGAACGTTGTTATAGCGCTTCATTTAGATGGAGCATATTTGAGAATTTGATGAACCTATGAACTTTATTACAAAATAAATTGTTCAAAAAACAGATGTACTCTGCCTGCGCACTATAATCAAAGTATCATACTTTGTTGTACGGCACGTTTTGTTGTGACGGTGAAGATATCCCGTTTTTACTGGAATTTGTTTTCTCTAAAACTGTCGGAGAAAGTCCACCAGGTACATTAAAATGCTTGTACAACATGAATGTGTCTGTCTGTTTATGAGTTTGTTTAATATATACTGCGTAATGTGTCAGCCAACACCATCTCCGTTGATATATGCATCATCATCAAGAATAAAAAGTAACAATGTAATTAACTACTAAAGACAAGGGATCCTTTTGTGCTTGTATTTATTGTAAATTGTATTGCATTTAGCATTATGTGCTTGGCGTTAATCAAGTCGACGTGAACGCGTCAGTGCAGATTACGCTCACTGATTTTCAAACGGAGTAGTTCATCTCATCCACATAGACGCGCTTTGGTGGCACTTTTTCGCTGTGACGCGGCTCTGCTCGGCTCTAGCTCACTGTCAAGGAAGAAGCCTCCCATCTGTTCACCTGGAAACCACGTCCCCCTCCAGCAAGGTAATCTTTAGAAAGGAATAATACACAGTGACGGAAACAACCCGTTGTTTGCTATTCTTATGTTTACTATTGTGTATACGCTCCCGGCCGACGCGGAAGAAAGTAGGGCAGCCGCCTCTACTACTGTTTTGATTTCTGCACAGCTAGCTAGCGCAGCACACTGCTAACATATGCACACGAGCACATCTGTTTACACCGTGTCCCTGTTTGACGATATTGTCAAGTAGTTGTCGTCATCTGGAGTTTAACGAAGGTTATCGTAAAGCACGATATCCTGAAAATGAAACCGAGAGGTGATGTGAAAGGCCTGACCATTGAGAAGCTGGACAAACTACAACCCACTGCGGACTGTTTCATCAGCTCAAACTCAAAGGCTAATTGGCATATTTAGTGTTTTCGCTAAGGCTAACAATAGATACACAACATGTATTACGATGTGCATTTTTCTCTTGATTTCTTCACAGAAATCCTGCCGTGCCTCACATTTAAACCACTTAGGTACTGGTGGTGATTATCTTGTGTTGCTTTGGTTCACTTTGTCAACAACCAAAACACAACTACATTCCTTTTTCCAGGATCTTACAGCACCTGCCTCCACCTTTATACATGAGGGGAAATGCATTGTGGTTAAACTCACTGTGATGTGTGTTTATAGGCTAACAATTGTCCAGCACTATATTTTACCTGGTGACCAAAAGCCATCCTGACGTTTTAATGACATTTAAGTACAAAAAATAACTACGTGTTTGCCTTTTAATGGGTTGTGTGATCCACATAAAAACAGCTGCTCCATATTGGGAGCCTTGGTTCTCTCGTTACCAAATAATGGAGTTTTTTCTTAATGATAACTAACTTTAACGTGTGATCTGTCTGTGTGCTCCTCCCTTAGGCTGGTGAGCCTGATGTCCAACATGGGTGGTGCACCTGATCCGGTCTGAACCACTTGTCATTTTTACCCTGCTCTCACAGCCAGATGTCAGGAGATGAGACACTGTGGTTTTGTACCACACCATGAGTATCCAGAGTCTGGGAGGAGCCATAGGGGATTCCCTGGGCTCTAGCCTGACGGTGCGTATGAGCGGAGGGTGGAGCGCTCTCTCTCTCAAACCTGTTTCCTCCGGACGGATCGCCTCCCTATTCCAGACCATGGTTCCCACCGGTTACACCAAGCTGCAGGAGGAGCGGCTGGCCATGGTGGACGTCGGAGCCAAACCCGAGGCCGCCTCGCTGCAGAACGGCTACAGACCGGAGGCGTCTCACGTGGAAGGACGGCGGCTCCTGGACCGGGCCTCCCGCTCGTCTGTGACTTTATCCGACTGTGGCGATGGAGGCTACTCCGAAACAGAGCCCATGCTGGCTGAAAGGAGGCTCTCGGCGGAGGAGGCAGATGAAGAAGAGGAGGAGGAAGAGGAGGTGGAGGAAAGGCCGAGAGCGCTGCCCAACATGCCCAAGGAGTCGCCACTGGCCATGGCGCTGCAGATCTTGCTGCCATTCTTGCTGGCTGGATTTGGAACGGTATCAGCTGGAATGGTGCTGGATATTGTGCAGGTAAGCTGAATTACAATGCAACTATTATTCCCAGCGCAGCCGAGAGCTCAAGAATGGAGAGCATTAAAGGCAAAGTCCAGCGCATTACTTACTGGGTCTTATTTTCCTAGTTGGGGCCATTGCTCCCATCAGGTGTGATAACACTGTACTCAGCGACGTAGATGTGGAAGCACGGTGTCCACACCCAAACAAAGAAGGGACAAAAAACAGGATCTTACACACAAAGACATTTCCATATACAGGATTTTTGTTTTGGACACTACAGGAACGTTCAAAATCAGTCAATGTATTATCCATCCATCCATCCATCCATTGTCAAACCGCTTATCCTGCACACAGGGTCGCGGGGGGGCTGGAGTCCATCCCAGCCAACTTCGGGCGATAGACAGGGTACATCCTGGATTGGTCGCCAGCCAATCGCAGGGCTACACAGAGACATACAACCATTCACACTCACATTTACGGGCAATTTAAAGTCCCCAATTAACCTGATCCCCAGAGCATGTCTTTGGACTGAGGGAGGAAGCCGGAGAACCCGGAGAGAACCCACGCAGACACGGGGAGAACATGCAGACTCCACACAGAAAGGCCACTGGGCGGAATCGAACCCAGGACCTTCTTGCTGTGAGGCAACAGTGCTAACCACCACGCCACCGTGCCGCCCCGTGTATCTATCCATCAATCAGTATATGCATATGTCAGTGTAAGGAGCTAAAGATGGCAGCAAGACACCAGAAACAACCTTTTTCTGGGTTATGTCCAAGGAGTCTTGTGGCTTTGAAGAGGGCAGAGATAACGACTTCAGTTCATCGCAGATGATGTACAATGCTGTTAAAAAGTATTTAAGGTGGTCCAGGATCGGAAGCGTAGACTATCACGTTCTGATTCGGATTCTGGCAATCCCCATTTTGTTGCTCCAGTCAGCCAATAAGATGGTAGCGAGCGTAAATCCATGCCTTTAACATTCAGAACCTTATTATTGAGCTCCTTCCACGACTCTCTACCCCATCTTTTGAGTCACAGGTACACACATATCTAAATCATACCATAGCGTTTGGATTTGATTGTCAGATGTTGTGCAGTAATCCCCTCTGTGTGTCATCTGCAGCACTGGGAGGCGTTCCAGTTCATCACAGAGATCTTCATCCTGGTTCCTGCTCTGCTCGGCCTCAAGGGAAACCTGGAGATGACTCTGGCCTCCAGGCTGTCCACAGCGGTGAGACACATGCACACACACACACACACACACACTCTCACGTGGTCCCAGTCAGGATGACACATGACCAGAGAGGCATGGATACGTGCAGAATGAAGTGTAAACAAACTCATTTAAGTATCCGTGCTTTGACTTGTTCTTGTAGTATTTACATGGCTGAGTCCAGACACACCACTCTGTCTGCCTCCTTTATTATTTACACCACAGCTTAGTTGACAAAAAGTTTATATAGCTATTTCAATACAGAAACACATCTATTCCAATAACAATAGATCTGATGAGTGAAGCTAAAGTGCCTTAAAACCTATATTCTCTCTACGGTCCATCAGGTTGGTAGCCGCTGTGGATGGTAAGTGTGTGATGTCATCGCGTGTTTGCGTGTGCGGCGTTGCATATTCTCTGTGCCTGTGGTAGTTTTCAAGTTATGTAAGAAGAGTTTGGGGAGGAATCTGCTAATCTAGCAGAGTGAAGTGGTGGTTTCCTGTCAAGGAGGGAGGGGGGGGCCGGACCGGCTGCTTCCACCACAATAACCAAACCGTCAAACTGTTTCTCCCCTCAGCAGCTCCCACAGCAAACAGTGTGACTGAAGGAGGAGCAGTGAGGGGACAGGTTGACCTGTCGCCTCACTGCTCCTCCTTCAGGTCCCTGATATCCCATCCAAAGGATTTCATAAACCTGTGGGGTCACACTCCTGTACATGGGGCGCTTATTCAGTCGTCCTCTGTGTGTCCACGACATCTGTAGCTGTGCAGCGCAGAAACGCAGTGTTTGTTTCCTTTTTCTTGGTGCTCCCGTCGGCCTCCGGCTCTCTGCACACAGGCTCCACGTTGACTCAGTCTTGAGTCAACACGGACAGCGCAGCTCAGCGCCAGATCGCCATTTCTCAGCGGCGTCCCAAAGAACTTTGTCTTTGTGTTTTGTTCTCCTTGAGGCTCAGCTATGAAAGGGGCTGGGATTCACTGACAGGCGATGAAACAGGACGAATCCTATACAGTCCAAGGGCCTGTGTGTGCTTATAAAAAAACCATCCCTCCCCGTTTATGTGCGTAAGCCGAGGAGGAGAGAAGACTTGAGACACCCTCACTACAAAGGCCTTTACACTTTCAATTGAGTGATTTATTTCACACAACAATATACATTTTTTTTTTTGCACCGCGAGCAAATGAATGAAAAGAAAGAAGACCTCTACTGCTTTACATACCTACTCACCACAATACGGCCGTACTTTACTTCACGCAGGAAGTGAATCCTTGGAAACGTTCAGGTCAGATAGTATTCTAGTTCTAATAATCTCTTAACATCAATGCAGATTAAAATGTTGGGGGAAGCCTCCTGACTCTTTGACCAACGAGTTCAAGAGAACCCAGCAGTCATCGTGTGACTGATTTTGACTGTTTTTAAGGGGCTTATTTTGGATTCAGCAGCCCTCATTCAACTGCACGCTAAAACATCCAAACTTTCCCTTATTAATATGTCTCATAACTCTTTTTTGTGCAATACTAAACTGCTGGAGTATCCTGTTTGAGTCTGATCATTTGGTTGAGGAATCATACTAATTGTTTTTGCTATATTCTGTTCACAGGTGAATGTGGGCAAGATGGATTCTCCCATAGAGAAGTGGAATCTAATCATAGGCAACCTGGCCCTGAAGCAGGTAATCTATCCCATTGTAAAGAGTCAACCTCAAGTGCGTTACACCATCAGAATGGAACAATGCATCAGTGATTATTTGAATCAACCCAAAACAAACAGCTTTGGATCAGCTCAGAAGCATTTTTATTTTCAAACTGAATGCCCTTCTTGTAGACGCCGTTACGGATTGGTTTCCCCTATTTGGCCGTGAAAGATTGTGCAAAGTAATTGTATTTAATTCCCCCCACATTCCCGTGAGGCGATTCTATTTGTACACGTCTTGATTGGTTGGATCCAGCTGGAGTCGAGTTGGCTCACACTGTTTTATTGATGTCTCTGTGTAATAACAGTACGTTCTCTGTTAATCATCTATATAAATACACACATGCAACCTCTCTGTGGTCTGGCAAACTTGTTGTACGCAATAACACACACGTCAGCAGGCGGTGTTATGGAATGGATTGGTTGTTAAATGTTAATTACAGTATTTTACATTCATGTTTATGTGTCACCCTACCCTGTCAACCTAATAACCCTTCTGCTGATCCTGTTTTCCACACACGTAGCAACGCTTCAGTGAACGACTACATCAGTAACGCCCCCCCCCCCCCCCCCTCCCCTCTCTCCTCCAGGTCCAGGCCACAGTGGTGGGTTTCCTGGCCGCAGTAGCGGCCGTGGTTCTTGGCTGGATCCCGGAAGGCAAGTTCCAGATGAGCCACGCTGTGCTGCTCTGCTCCAGCAGCGTGGCCACGGCCTTCATCGCCTCCCTGCTGCAGGGTAAACACACACACACACACACACACGCAGTGACAATAAACTATTGATACGGTGACTGGGGAGAAGCGGCGTGACGTCTGTAGAAGCGCTAAAAGCCTTGTATGGTCAAAAACCTGTACTTCTCTTTCCCAGACCGGTTGTTTGATAACGTCTAAAAGTCTCTAGTAATGTGCTCCGCTCTCTTTTGGTGTCAGGTTTTCTCATGGTGGGTGTCATTGTGGGTTCAAAGAAGACGGGCATCAACCCTGACAACGTAGCCACACCCATCGCCGCCAGTTTTGGTGACCTGATAACCCTGGCGATCCTGGCCTGGATAAGCCAGGGCCTCTACAAGTGCCTGGGTAGGTGATCAGCTACGGCCTGTACGCCTGGATGTACTGTAACTGTTAGGACCGCCAGGGAAACGTTTTCTAGCTGTAGTTTTCTATACATTGCATGTGCATTCATGACATGACGTGATACTGAAGTGGTGAATCCTATCAGATGGAAATCCACTCAATTTGGTCACGGTCCTCTCAGTGAGAGGCTCCTGCAAGGCCAGATAAACGTTGTGAGACACTTCCCTCTGTCAGTCAGCAGAGGTCCCTCCGGCCTCGCTCTGCGGCACAAGACCGTCCACACAGATATTAACTCCGTGCTTCTTATTCTGAGACAAACCAGCTGAGCAGAAAGGATAAAACATTGTGTATGCTGGAAGCCAAGCGGAGCCCAGTCCGTTATAACACATTGCCACAATAAATACAATCTATTTGTTTGTATTCATCACATCGCGTCAGGTGCAGCCATAAACTGACAAAGTCTGCAGTAAAGCAGAACAGCTCCAGGGCTAAAGTTCTGGATTCCTGGAGTTTATGTGCAGATAATCAGCAATGTTAAGTAACAATTTTTGGCAAATAAAGAGATCCATTTGGCTAAGGGAGAGTGGCTTCTGGTAGTTTTCATTCCGATGACATGACACTTCCTGGAAACGGTGTAACCTGTAGAAGAGCTTTATTGGAGCTCGTCTTGCTGACTGGGAACGTTAAGTCAGTGTCACATTCCCGGTGCATGTGGGTCGATCAGGGGAAATGGGTCGCTACATCTTTCTGAGCTGTGCATTTAAGAGCCCGCAGGCCTGACGGAGCCCATTAGCACCTCAACACCAAAGTGATGATAAATCTAGGACTGTTTCCTAATTACTGTTATTTAGTGTTTGGAACTGGAGCCTGCTGAAAACCTCTGGTGGTGCCTCTAAGCAGGTGCTTTAGCCGAATTGATTTTCTAAAAGCCCAGCTGTGCTACTTTGCCGTTTGAACAAAGTCGTAAAGAGAAAGTGAGCGTACTCTTACGTTGGTGTGCACTTCCGTCTCGGCAAGTTCATTCAGTCAAGTTAAAATAGACATGATGCTTTGCTGTATTCCTTAAAATACGTTTTCTGCAAGAAAAAAGAGAATTTTGCTGGGAAGTCCACCAAAAAGCCAGCCAGAGAGGGAAAATAAAAGGCGTGTCTCCCTCTTCCCCAGATACTTACCCGTACGTGTCATCACTGGTCTGCGCCTTCTTCATGTGTCTGACCCCTCTGTGGATCGTCATCTCCTCCAAGCACCCGGCCAGCCGCACCCTGCTGTACTCCGGGTGGGAGCCCGTCATCACTGCCATGGTCATCAGCAGGTGTGTCCCTCAAAGTCCCGCTGCTGTCTTTTTTTTGCAGAGGAGCAAAACGATACAAGACTGCAGAATTTTAGTGACATTCATAGAAAAGCACACAAACGACCTCATTTAGACGAGGAATGATGTTTTGTCTTGTTCTCTCCCTCTGTGTGTCTTACACACACACACTCACACAGAAAAACACCACTTAATCCTCTAATTATGTTTTGCTATTCAGCATCGGAGGGCTCATCCTGGACAAAACGGTGTCTGACCCCGATCTGGCGGGCATCGTGGTGTACACGCCGGTTATTAACGGTGAGTCACAGTGTTGCTCTGCTTCTCTCTGTTGTCACCGTCTCAATCGCAATGTGCCGAGCGCCCGGGGCACCAGTTGGGGGGGGATGTCGAGAAGAGTTCAGTGACATCGCTCTAATCTCATTGTTCATGTGTTTAACATTCTGCAGGCATGTGTCTTTATTAAATAATAGAAAGGCCGCATGACTCATTGTGACACATGACACACTTGCTAATTTGAATGCAGTGAATCATTTCCTTTTGGATTACGGTTGTATTGATTATTCATAATATTTATATTGATACTACTGAGAGGAGCTTTTGATTGGTGTTAAATTTGTAGTTTTTACGAGCACCCTTTAGAAAACCTCATTTTACTGCAGCAGGGTGCGAGTCTGGTACTGGTGCCCTCCCCCCTCCCCCACGTGCTCCTTCACCTCCTGCAGGCCCAGCAGCAAAGAGGATTAGGTTTTCCTATTAGGCAGCTGCCAAACACTCTATTATTTTACACAACAAACGGCAACAATCTGTTTATTGTGGGTTTGGGTGCAGACAGACTGCTGCTGTTTGTCCAATTTGTCTCTTTGCAGTTTTGCGATTAACGCCGAGTTTGACCCTTTGGAGCGGACACCCAGGCAAAGTGTTTAAACACAAGATGGATGACGCGTCAGAGAGTCTATTTGTCTTGTGCTGTGCAGCTCCCAGGTGTGAATTAATTGGAGACGTGGAGCAGCGCCTCCACAGTCCCGTGATTAATGACAGTTTCTAAATAAAGACTCCAAATACTCATCAGCATAAATGAGTGACCTAATGCGACTGCTGCAGTCTGTCTCAACTCTGACTCGACTCCATCAACCTGGTCCCGTTCCGTTGCTCCCGCCGCTGACTGGCTCAGCCGCCGTTGCCAAGGCCGTGACACCTTCACAACAAGAGATACGCTTTGCATTAAACACCCTTAATGGAAGATATTTATTTAACAAGAAGCATTCGGAGCGTGAGGCTAATTGGTTTTCGAGCCGTCCATCCAACAGCAGGGAAATCTGTGAGGGCCGAGACGTTCCGGTTTTGTGTTTGCGAGCGAGTGGACGTTTTATCCGTCTCGGATTTACAGCATGTTATTCAAGGGGTGAGGAAGGCGGGGCTGGCGGTTGAAGTTCCTGTTGTAATATTAAAATAGCATGAGGGAAAATGACGGCACAGAAGGCGTGAAAGGACAATGTGTGGATGTTTGATGAGAGAGGAGATGTGTAGAGCGTGATAAGAAAAGACTGTTCAAAGGAGACTCCGCTACAGGGAGAGACAACACTCAATTCTCAATTCTCTTAATGCCTTATTTTAGGCAATTTCCCCTGAGATAAAAAGTGACTGTTTTGAAGGTATTATCCAGGTATTAATTTCCTCTTGTACTTCGTATTGTATCTGCAGTAAAACAAGTGTTCTTGCCTTTTATTTAGATTTAAAATTCTCTTTCTGGTGTTCTCTTTGTGATATGATGTGATGCATCGTGTTCCAGGCCTCCGATGCTGCAGCCTTTAATCTTCACTCGTCTTCTCCTCTTTACATCGAACTTCCACCTACAAAACATTGTTTGTTTTCTCCCCGTCCTCTGTTTGTGTTTTGTCACGGTCTGTCTTGGTAATGGAGCCGTTCAAATAAACAAACGGAGCGGGCAGGAGGTGAGGGGGGGCAGACAGCTCTGTGTCGGCCCCCCCTCACAGGTCACAGTGGGAAAAGCACCGGCGTAGGCAAAAAATAAATAGGAAGAGTGTTGTGCCGCTGGGTCGGTCAGTCCGGGTGCTGTTCAGGATGCCGAACACCGTCGTGGCTGACCGGGATGCAGTCAGCATTCATTTCAGGCGCTGTGAATAAGTTTCACCACTACATTCGGGAACATTTTGCCACCTTCCGTTGGAATGGATGGAGTAAGTGACATGCAAACCACCTTTAAACTGATGTGCGTTAACTCACTGTTTTCAAAGCTCTTAGCACGCAGGAAGCTGTTTTTGCCCGGGGACAATATTTAGTAATGTATTCATTAGTTATTTAGTTATCATACTGTACTACTGTATCTGCTAGTCCCTGCAGGGTACGGATACATGTCTAAGAGTGACACATGTGGCTTAATATGACCACATGTTGCTGTGACAAAGGCCTTTAGCACGTCAAAATAATAATAATAAGTAAATGATTCCTCCAGACAGAATCATAATTTTTTTTTTTTTAATTTAAAAGCCACAACACAAAATATCTTCCTCAGGTCTATCACTTCCTAAATTACGATAGGAGCGCTCGTCAAACAATACTATTTTCTAAATGGATGCCAGTGATCATCAAACATACCAGATTACATCACTGCAGCCAAAAGCTCCAACCCACAGAAACCGCTGCACCTACACAACTCGCGTGTTGCAACCAGCGAACCACCAACACACGCGTCTTCGCTTCACTTGCTCAACTGACTAGAGCAGGTGCAGCAGGTTCCCGTGTCCTCGCCGTGTCGGTTAGCACCGTCGCCTCACAGCAAGAAGGTCCTGGGTTCGACTCCACCCAGAGACCTGTTCCTGTGTGGAGTCTGCATGTTCTCCCCGTGTCTGCGTGGGTTCTCTGCGGGTTCCTCCCACAGTCCAAAGACACGCTCTGGGGATCAGGTTGAGGACTCTAAACTGCCGAAGGTGTGTGAATGGTAGTTTGTCTCTGTCACCCTCGCCATGACTAGCGACCAATCCAGGTTGTCTCGCCCAGTGTTGGCGGGGATTGGCACTGAGGTGGTGGCATGGTCTGATTCAATACACTCGCCACCACAGTAATGGTTCTACTTCTGGGGGGGATGGGAGTCTATGTTTAGAGTAAGTAAAGATGGATATCTACTAAGTTTATAGTACCAGCTGACTGAAAGCCACCATGTACTGAGTTTCCCTGCTGCACTGCATGCGTGCCTATGATCCACTTCTCCTGGATGTAGAGTCGTTGCTCTCTTATGGCACCTTCTTCTCTCCTGAGCCTACACGGCTTAACTCGTCTGCTTCTCTATCTATATATCTGTATGGATGTATGTGAGCGGTCTTCCAGGGCTTCCTCACCAGACTGGGTCGAGGGGTGAAACAGAGCGTCTGTGTGTGTGGTTGTTTCCTTTCTGAAGCTAGGCGGCGTGATAGCTGCAGTATGTGAATATAAAGTGGCCCCGTGTTTGGTCAGCACAGATGGCTCGACCAGGAACATGCCTGTGATCTCTCTCACTTTCTTGTTGTGTGCTAGTAATATAAAACTAGCTCCCAAACGTCTGCTCGGTTTACAGTCAAATCAAATCGATCATTTTTAAAGTTAATTTGGCCTCAGGTAAGCCCCGCCCCTACTGCTATTGTGTAAATGCTGCCAATACATCATTAAAAAAAAAAAAAATGCAGACAGGGAGGGCTACAATACAGGCCATATAAGGGACAAATGTCTAGAAGAAAATATATATTTCAAAATATGAGTGAAAATCAAATACAAATGCTTGTTTCCATCCGTGTTTTGTGAATATAGAAGATAGTTAATCTAGATAAACGGCACTCATGTACGCTTCGTCTTGTTCAGAGTTTTATTCCTTTTTCACTTTTAGCGATGGCTAATCCGCCTTTTTGAAATGTCTATTTTCCCAAGGTTGCTACTGACGGATTGGACCACACAGTTCTTCTGATAGCAGACTATAAACGGGTGCTTACTTCCACTAAGCCATTATGTCTACCACATAACTGGCACTCATCATGAACCCATATAATAATGCCACACACCGCTTTAAAGCTTAACCTTTTTTAACAATGGATTCTTCAGCCTTTAAAAAAAAAGAATATCTGGTATTGTTCCTTTCTTAGGTGTAGTAGTTTGGTGGAGATGCGTCAGTGGGCCCAGGTGTTTGCGTTTGTGTTCTGGGAGCAATCATCCACATAATTCATAGTGAGAAAAGGATTCGTAAGTGCACATCTGATCACAGCTCACTGAGCATGAGATCTGTAGAAAAGACTAGTAGAGGTGGTTCTCTATTAACCCTATCAGTGCTAATATAATAACACTGAATGCTCTCCTATCTGGTCCAGGGATCGGGGGCAACCTGGTCGCTATTCAGGCCAGCAGGATATCCACTCACCTGCATTTCCACTGTGCTCCTGGGGAGGTTCCTGAAGAGGCTAAGGGCTGCTACTACCCCTGCCGCACCTTCTGGGGTTCAGGTTGGTACTACTGACCAGTTACCAACATCACACACTAGCTCTCCACCAGTTTCCTAAAACTATGTTTTTTATTATTATTTTACCCCCATACTGACACATATTTAACAGACCCCCCCACCCCCCCACCCCCCTTTAGACGCTTTGTAAATACAATAGCTTAAGTGATGGTAATGCAATGTGTCATTATTAGAATAACTGTGTTCTTAATCAGCTAATTTAAAGTCAACCTTTGTCCCTGAGCAGGACACCCGACCCCTTTGCTCCCCGGGCAAAATGTAAAAACTGTGGGTTAAAAATGCAATGCAAGTCGCTCTTTAATGTAGTGTACGGCTGGGTGTCTCCCCCCCCTGGAGGGTGATTGGCACATCCGGCGTCCCAGGTGGGAATGAATTCCAGTATGAAGGCAGCAGGATAATAAAGGCTGTGGAGCGAGCCGATTCAATCTGTGACCAAAGCATCCAGTCTGGGCTTTTTTAAAAGAGTGATTTTAGACAATCATCTTCACATTGTTTAGAATTAAATCGTTTTAATTTTAAAAAGTCGTGGCATTACTTGCACCTCTCTAATCTATTGTGGAAGTGTGTCCAGGCCTTTGACTAGTAGTGCATGTTGCTATCAAAGCTTTTTCAAAGAACTGAAATATACAAGTTTCTCGCTACTAAAAACTAAATTTGACAAGCTTACATCTGACCACTAACCTCCAATGGAGTCCACGTGGAAGCTGGTCTTGGGCTCAGTAAAGGGCGGTGCAAAGAATCTGCATTGAGGACTTTTAGTAACAGAGCTACTCCACATTCTCCAATGTTTTCACCTTTAACCCCCATTTTGTACTTTCTCAGGAGCCAATCATCGCTCTGCTCAGGTGCTCCTCCTCTTGGTGATCCCCGGTCACATCCTCTTCCTCTACACCATCCACCTGATGAAGAGCGGACACACCACCCTGACCCCCATCTTTATGTCCGTCTACCTGTCTGCTGCCATGCTTCAGGTGAGCGCGTGACGGCGTGTGCTGGAATATGCACTCTAACATGGTTCTCATCATTCCAGAACTTTTTCACAATCCAGTCTTAATATAGCAAATGTTAACAAAAGAAAAACAAAACAAAAAGGATTTGGTCACCTACAAACAAGAAAAATGTCTGGCTCTCACAGACCTGTAAATCACAGGCCTCTCAGTTTAAGTGGGAGAACTTGCACAATTGGTGGCTGACTAAATACTTGTTTGCCCCACTGTACGTATCAATGTGAGGTGGACAGCTTTGCTACACTCACAAATGAACAATAAACATGCAAAAGGTCAAAGGAGGGAAGTGCTCTTACTCCTGTTCTTCTTAAATATAAACGCACTTTATGAATTAAAGTTTCTCTCTTTGAGATTCAACCAGAACAAAATACAGCAGATCAACTGTGGTCCTTACCAAATGTTAACCTTTGACCCTTTCTCAAGAAAGTAAATGGAAATATTCTTGCTGCACATGTAATCTTTTGCAATGTCCCATCACAGCGCCGTCTCTCTTCCTTCTGAGGCAGACCAATAAATAAATAAAATACAAATATGTCCCAAAACATCAAGTTGGCGGCGTAATCATTGTAAAAATCATAAGTCATTAAAGAGCGAATGTAACATATGACTATAAACCTCTGCATTTGAACATCAGAGAAGAGAGCATGCTTATGAAGGTTATGGTCGCTCATAACGACTATGCAACACGAGTTTGTGTTATGACCTTCATTAAGTTACCGTTGTCTCTTTACAAGCTCCTCACCTCCGCAACTGTTGAGCTGCACTGTCCCATTATCTCTCCTCTATGAAAAGATGAATATGAGGATGTACGTTTATTTAGTCCTGAAGGAAGAGAATTTTGTGTGTGTGTGTCCCTTGTGATTCGTAGTTTGGAGCGACGCCCGAGCGATGCTCCAGGATTCTTTCGGGAATTCTAAGAATTAATCTGGCGTTATTTTGGACGCTTCCGAAGGCTCCTTTCAATCTTTAATGGAGATGTTGAACATTAGGATGTAACCCTGGCTGCTGAGGCGCTGGAAACTTTCCAAGTCAATTAACTGTGGATCAAGAAGAGCTGCTTTAAGAGCGCTCCAGTGCCAGATCATCAAATGGACTTCTTTCACATCTTTATACCTGCGACCATTAAAGAGAGCATACTCTATTGATTGGAGTTCAGAACCGTAAAGACCAATTTGCTTTTAGTTTTTCTGAATATTTGACATGCTTTCATGCTGCGTCGGGCTGCGAGGCTGACGAGACGCAGCATGTCAGAATAATTCACAGGCTCCTTTCATGTCTTTGTTGATCTGTGTGTGGTTAAGGCCTTCATCTAGCTTTAAATGATGTCTGCACAGTGTCACGTCAACAAGGTTATTACCGCTATGATTATTTATGCCTCCGAAATGACTCCGTCGTGTCTGATTTGTCCTCTATGTTTTGGTTCAGACTCGGTCTTATAATTAAGGTTTGTACTCTGTCTGAGGGATGCACAAAATAAGGAAGTGTAATACTATCTACGTTGTCCCATAGACAAAGAATAAGACCCTTTGGCATGTGGACTGATGTTTTGAAGCCATTCTCAGGGATGCTTGACTCAAGGATGAACTAACCTGAGGATTTAGCGGTCAAAGGCCGGCGTCTCCTCACGTCAGTCCCATCTTAGCTTAAGCAATTCATCTGGAACACCGTGGGAATTTCCTCAAATTTGGCATAATTGTCCACATGAGACTCAGGTCAAGACAATTTCTCACACATATCTAATATACCGTAATAAGATAGTGAGGTGATAATATTTTGGACCAACATAGATGTAAACTGTAAAAAAGGGAGATCCCCTTTTGGCAGAAAAGGGTATAAAGCTATTATCTTATAAAGATACGGACAGATGGAGACAAAGATTAGAACTGTACAAAGACAGATAATGGGGAAAGAAGGAATGTCACCAAAAGTTAAACTAAATCCTATGCTCCTCAACATACACTCCTTTATTACTGTTTGCATACTGTTATCAATTTTATCAACAGTTCATAATTCCCTCTTTGTTATCCATTTAATTTCACCGTGAAAACATATCCTGCAAACAACTTAATACTTGAAAAAAACGCACAAAGCACTGTAGCGGCAGTCATTGTGTGTACCTGAATTATTGAGTTTGTTTCCTTGGGGATTGGTGCATAACACCAGAGGCAGTTCTGTTCACAGTGGTTGTTTCCGCTGCCTCCTAGTGGGCATTACCACCTCCCACTGCGATGTCTTTGTCCACGGTTCAGTTTTAAACTTGTGAAGTGGTGGGAGCTAAAAGACAAAAACACTGAGGTAACCGTTGACGACAAGGATTCAGGGATGAGCTACCGGTCCTTCACCAGGAGGGGGAACATGGAGAACTGCTGCTCTCCGTACCAAAGCAAGGACCTGATGCCTTTGTCTCTCCGTAGCGTGGCTGTTACGAGGATTATCCAACCCACGCACTAATGGTGCTGATAAACATTCTGCCACTCTCATCATATACCGACATAAACCTCAAATGAGCTCGGCGGTAATCTATAATGCCCAACCTGCACAGGGAACATTAGCTTTAATGATTTCCATGTGTTGATCGTTTGGAAAAGGGGTGTGAGAGAAATTTTGAAGCAACGCAGTTTATCTGAATGAGGCGGACAGCAGCCTTAGTTATGGCTCCCGTTGGTCCAGTGCCTTGGTCTGCCGTGTTACTGCATACCTGCAAAGTGAAATCACGTACCCACGTCGGAGAGTTTCACCTTGTGTCCCGCCTTAACCCCAAGCAAGCACATACATGTTTAATGCACACATGACCGGCATGAGCAAAATCTGCTTGCCTGAAAAACTCATCCCTTCAGGATTCAATATACTTACATGCTACAATATACATACTTGACATCACCGTTGTTTCAGATGTAACTCTCTGCCCTAAGGAGTCAGACACAATTTGGCAAAGATATAGCTGTGGCATAATATGATAATGTCACACAAGCACTGTAACTGTCTGTTACTTTAATAGCAAGAGTTAAGCGAAGATTGCGAGGGGAACCTCACTGCAATTCAGTCCCCATGGGAAAGAGAAGATGGATCCCAAATTGACTTCCCTTCACTGATTGTTTTGCAGAAAGTCAAAAAACATACTTAGGACCAAGCACGAGTAGAAAAACATGGCTCCAACAATACACAGGATAACATGGTTTTGTATTTAGACAAAGAACCTGGTGATGCCAAATGGGCCAAGGCAGGGTGGTGCAATAAACCTCAGACGGATCAGAGAGAAGGAGACCGAAGCGGTTCCTCAGTCTGAAAGTCTGAAAAGGCTACGCAGAGTTTACTCCTGATGAATATGCAGTGCTATGCTAATGTTGCCTTTATGGAATACTTAATAATACTGAGGTCAAAAGCCTTGGGTGCACGCTGCAATACGAACTAGTAATAGCGCTTTTGAAGGCTCTGCAGCAAAGGGCGACCACCTCTGGCCTCAAAGCCAGAACCTCATTCCTTCAGAACAGGCCGATATCTTCACCGATCAAATCCGTCGCTCGATGTGCACGGTCAGCTGAGCATTCCGCTCCTCCAGCTGCTCAGCAGGGCACGAAACAAAAAAAATCTGCTCCCAAGAGATGAACAGGCCACTTGGAAGAACCCTCATCTACAGTTGTGTCCTAATGAAAATGTGACGCCACATTAAATTAACAGAGCCGAATCAACGTATTCTGCTTCACCTTTGTCTCATGTGCATGTGCAGCTGGTTCTGATTCTGACTGTCACAGCAGTGTTTCAATTTCAACTAGTGCAACAAATAAAATGGAAATGCGAGTGTATGGATTTGTGCATTGGGAAAGTTCCAGGCATGAGGAGACACACAGGAGGTAGTTTCATTTGGAATAGAGGCTTACAGATGTACATGCAGCAGAGTAGACCACCTGGGTTGTGTGTGTGAGATTTGTTGTTCATCTCTCCTGCACTGAGAAGTAACAAGTCCCCGTATTTTCCTCTGTAAATGTAGCTTACAGAGACATATTTAGATTTAGGTGATCCGGGAGTGACGACTGATGCTGCAGAGCATGAAATACTCAACAAGGCACAGACTGAGAGTCGGAGGTTTGTAGGACAGCTGAAGGGAGCTGTGGACGACCAATCCGATTCCTAACAGGATCTGCCTCGGAATGGTCTCTCGGTGAGAGCTGCAGAGGAAGACGAGCCAGGCTGTGCGAGGACGTTTGATGTGTGACGCTGCTGTATGAGGTGACAAAGGGTCCTACTAAGGATCTACAAATTTCGCACGAAGGTACTTCCACTGAAATGCAAAAGTCTAACCGAGGTCCAACCACAAAGGTTGAAAGTTATTCAATCTTAGATGGTGTTGTTTTCTTGGATGGATCAATAATGTGTATACATGTGCATCATGGATAATGAAATGCCAGAACCTGGGTATATTAAATTTTTTTCCGGGGTTAATGGTGTTCCAGTCATTAAGTAGAATCGGTTATTGAACCACATCAATCAGAAACATGAACCAGCTTGTAAAGGTCTGGTACTGAAGCATTTCATTGAGCATTCGTCTGGATGATAAATGCCTGGGCTCCTCTAAAGCAGCCAATAGTGACACAAAGCGATTGATGTGCAGGCTTTTTGGGGGTTTCGGGGTTATTTGTACTTAGGCATACTGAAGTGATGCTCAGGAAAGTCGGTCCGAGCAAACGACGGCAGCTTGAAAATGGTCCCTGCACACATCGTAAAAATGATTAAGTACAATTCTGTAAACATAAACCGAGGCCTTGCTTAAACACTCCCACAGACATTCCTCGTCGATGCCTTTCAAAGTCAACAGCTCCCCTGCTGTTTACCATCCATCATTGGTACAGAAATGAACGTGCCTCACGCTGCTATGAAGCGCTGTGCTCAGCCTCCACACTCCTGCAGATTGAGTCTGATGGGATATTTACCTAAATGACACAATAGCAAAAAGTACAATAAAAATATGAAACGTTATTATACAAAATAGAAGACAAATATGATAAAAATGGAAGCCTACTGTAGATATGCAGAATATATGTGGATTAGTATTAGAGGAGCTGTGAAGTTTTTAGAAGTAGTTATTTAGTGCAGAAATGTTCAACGGATCACAGTATAAAATATAAATATATTATCCGATTCATAAGCCGCACGTTAGTTTCTTAACCACAGATGTGTAGCACGACAACATCAACAACTGGTTTAACGCTGGTCATCTCATTGGGAAGGGAATGCAGGTGTAGATGGTTGATTGGATTCACTGGGGGACTAATGGGAAACAGCAGCCATCTGCTCCAATACGCAGAGAGGACTAAGCATGGGGTTTTGCATGTGGCAAAATATGCCGTTAAGGCCGATGTGTCGGTGGTGCGAGGGCTTTAAATCAGCAGAGGGACTTCATTGGTTTAAAAAAAGAGCTTTTTTCATGACAACTGTCACTGCATCCCATGATAAATTGAAGCCAGTTTGACCGGACATCCCTTTTTAAAAGTGATTCAGTTACCACCAAGTCGCTAAGGATGCTCCACATCTCCCTGTTACCGTATGTGTTGCTCATTTGCATAGAGATGGCCAATTCTGTGCTAAATGTCACCCTTTTAATATGTGTAAATAGTAGAGCAAACTAATTAATCTCATATTTTGAAATTCATTAATAGACATTGTGATAGAAGGTTAGTTTTTCTTCTAAAGACTAAATCTTCTACATTAACGAGTAATCACTTCATACAGCGTGTATTTTAGACATTGTTGTTAATCATAGACCGGTCCGCCAAATATCGGTCCGTGAGGCAGAAGCGGTTGGGGACCCCCGCCTCAATATGCTTGGACCTTTCCTCATTGTACCATGATATTAGAAATGGTCGAGCAGGTTGATTGGCGAGTCACAGCTTAACTTACAGTCTTAACTTACCAGACAGTTGCAACGGATAACTGGCTGCATTTTAAAGGACAACACCCTTTGCACAATGAATTTCAGCTTCGTCCTTCTAGACCTCCTGTGGTCCCACGGTGCAGAACAGAGCGGTATAAGAGCAGCTTTGTTCCAGCAGCCATCACTCGGGTGAACAAATTATAGCAACAGTACATAGAGGCTACAGAAATGCTTGTTTACTTATTTATTGATCGACTGATTTGTAGCCTTGTGTACTTTTATTGGGTCGACGTGGCACACGGGTAGAGCGGGTGCGCTGGGAACCTCAAGGTCGGCGGTTTGAGCCCCGGCTGCTCCATATCCCATGTTGAAGTGTCCCTGAGCAAGACACATAACCCCTAATTCCTACCCGGGCAAAAATGCAAAAAGCCATGGGTTAAAAATTCAATGTAAGTCGCTTTGGATAAAAGCGTCAGCTAAATGACCTGTAATGTAATATTGTTTCCTCTGTGCAATCAGAGACCTTATCAGGTTCTAAACCTGGACCAGTTGTCAGGCAATCAGACTCCTCGTGTCTTCCAAACGAATACTTGCAGACCTACCGAGCCATGTGAATGGATGCGTGAATTAAATTAGTTATGGGATAGGATAGTGGATAGTTGTATCCCATGTTTCTCTACAGGTGTGCGTAGACACAAGTTGGAGTATTTTCGAAGCTGACACGCTTTTCTAGATCGCTGCATGATGGCTCTTGTTGGAGCGTGAGAATCGGTCGGTACCCGTTTTGTCCAAACAACAGTTGGAGCCGGAGAAGTTGCATTTAACCTTCATCCACACACACTGTCAACAGTCACACTCTCATTTTCAGGTGTGCTTTTTTGCCACCTTTTGTAAGTGGTTTGTAATTGGACAGCTCCATCTAGCAGACACTCAGGCGTGATTGAGGCTCTGAATGCAGAGACGGCCCGATGGAATGCCAATGGCTTCTATTTGTCTCTCTTGTTTTGCATTTTGTTCTGCCAAAATGTGACAATTAAATGCATCTTAATCATGAAAAGCTGTGCCCGGAAGTTTCTCTGTCTTTGCCGCCCTTTCTTTGTTTGTCTGAGGAGGGGGGGGGTGGAGCCGACAGTTGGAGACAGTGGACGGTGCAAACAACCGTCTGTTTGTCGACGGGTAACGCTTCCTTCTGGAGGTTTATTAGGGATTTCTTTTTTTTCTCATCAAATAATGTATTTACTTATGCAGATTAGCATATCGGCCAATTGTTGAGCCTCTTCGATGTGATGAGCCAGAGCCACTTGGACTGCAAATGGAAACTAGAACGCTTGCAATTCCGCAATCGTGTCTTGTTGCCAAGCAGAATCAGTAAGCAACGGGGCAAGTGTATAAGTGTGGTTTATAGAGACTGTGCTGCAAAAGTAACAATGGCTATTACTGGGAGGGTGTCATCAGAGATAAAAGCCCATCGGTACTGTAAGAGCCCATGTGAAGCATGCTGTCATCATTGGCTCATACATTAGTCTGTTTTTGGTATGTATTGTCATCATCAATCATCCCCGCTACCTCTTGATAACATCCTTACTGCCTGCATTCCCCGACTTGTTAATATCTTCCGATGACTTTTGGAATGTTTGCTTACAACCCCGAACAGCTCCTTCCCCCTTAAATGATAGACTCGTCCTTATCTTTTAATAGACTTCTCTTTTGCTCTCTGCACAGTTGCCTCCATGCGTAGAAACTTGAATTATGTATAACTCTGTTAAGTCATCTCTCGGTCTGCTGCTTCGTCCATTACTCTTTATCCCCACTGCCGTTTAAGTGTTTATGCCATTTTCTTTTTGTACGTCTTGCTATTCCGTAGTCAAGGATTACACTCCGTCGGCCCCCGTTTTTACCCAATTTTCTTTAGCTGTGAAAAATGTGCCAATAATTCAGGCCCATCTCTAAAGTATATTAGTAATATAGGCAAGAAGAAAACACGCTTGTATCAGCATGCTAACATGCTTGCAGTTTCAATGTTAGCTTTCGTATGTTTAGGTTCAACATTTACCAGCTTCGCCCTCAATGTTCTGCCCATAGACTAAAGCACTCGGACAAAACCACCCTGACATCGACCATTGGTTTCCATCTTGTCTTTTTGGGACCAGTATTGACCAAGAAGCTAGGGAGGCAGACACGTTGCTAGATCTCTCTGCTGATTGACCGGTCGCTGTGCCTGCTTCATGGTCTACTTGACTCCAGATAGACAAAAATCTACTGAATGAACATCATGCTGTATTGAAGAAGACTTGAAACTAGAGATTGAGACCATACACTCATGTTTCCAATGTCCTCCAGGTGCTGCTGCTGCTGTGCATATCTGACTGGATGGTGCACTCCATGTGGCGGAGCGGCAAAGATCCCGACAGTTTTTCCATCCCTTACCTGACGGCCCTGGGCGACCTGTTGGGCACTGCCCTGCTGGCGCTCAGCTTCCACTTCCTGTGGGTCATAGGAGACCAGGACAGCGATGTGGGCGACTGAGGAGACGCCTGACGTCAAGGCTTTGGCAGCAGGTGGTAAAAAAGCCCCAAGTCTTTTTCTGCCACCCGACCTGACGCTCCCTAAAGCTGTATGGGAACGCCGGCCAGCACATTCCTCTGCTCACTTCACTGAAACCACAACGTGGTTTTGGGAACTATTTTCTGCTCTTCGCTTTTAAAACATTTTTTATTACACACAAAAGACATTGTATTCCATGAATTTAGACTGTTTCCAGCACAGGTTTTGATCAGCATAGTCTGCACCGAAGCACTTTTCTGTTGTGTTGCTGATCTTGCAAAGAGGATCAGCGAACCCCCCACCGTGCTGAGGCTGGTTTACTCTGCAAGCATCAGTCGGAGGTCTTCCACTTAAAAACATTGCTTTTGTTAGTGTATATTTTGGGGATTACCACCCATTGTCTCACAAACTTCACTACCAGCATTGTGTGTGTTAAGAGGTTGCGACATGCAGTCAGTGGAGGGACACAGAGACGATTACTGTGGAAGTTTATCTGAGATCAACTCAACGACCGCTTTGAGCTGCCACGTGAGCAGGTTGGGGGAATAACACCTTTTCCACTATCTAAATGTTTTCAATCCATTTAGAACAGATCTAATATCCCCTAATTTTAGTATATATTTTGTTCTCTTCAAGGCAAAGGCTGGATCATTCCCCCACGCAAGTGTGCATCTCTGCTGCAGATTTATTTTTTTTCCCTCATTGGAGTTTTCAAATCGGCTCCTGACTGGATGTTGGATCAGGGGTTCCAAACTCTTCTGGGAGACCAGCAAGTAACTCAACTCCAGTCCCCCTGATCGGTGTAGCTCTATTTTCTTAATTTGCATAAAGTCTCTGATGGAAAGATGATGTGAAAGCTAATTTACTTTATTGCCCCACAACAAACAAACACTGCATGGGACCGAGTTGTTGGGGTTTGACCCTTCAATGCCCTGGAACAGTGATCGTGCAATCATTGCTTAGCCACAGTAACTGGGATGCCAGGTTTGTAGTGAAGCCTTTGGATTTCTTCCCGTGTTGAAGTGGTGTGCTTACTAAGCAAACGTAACAAAACGTTATAATACATAGCTCTTTCACAGCGTTATTCTGTTGAGTTACAGGCAATATGAAAAAATAGTTATAGTGTTGCATGTTTGGTAGCAGTCGTGGCGAGCTACATGTCGCTCCAGGAAGTGATTAATCATTACAGCACAGCAGCCATTGAATGTCAGAACAAAGTCAGCAACAGGAACTAAGAGGAGCCGGGCTTAGTGAAAGGTCAATTCCTGCTTTAGTTCAACCAAACCGCAGATAAACTTGTTGGTCTTTTAGCCTCCTGATGTGATGTAAATGTTAACAGCACAGCTGTGCTCAGTTTCTCCTGTCCAGCAGCCTCCGTCGTGCACACAGAGCGGCTCAGGAAATAACCGTTCCACTGTGGATGTTCACACACTGCGTACAGTGCATGTGAGCACGGTGTCTCCATGCATCAACACAACTAGTTCATGTCAGTTTCGGTTGATTCTCTTCTTATTTCAGACTAGTGTGTTAACCTTATTAAACAGCATATTTGGTTCCCTTTTTCTTAATGATCTGTTTCAAAGGTATCCCGTTAATCTCAGCAGCATATTGTGTGCATGTGAACGTTTGCTCTAATCAACTCCAATATGTGCCTCTTGAGATTCGCTGGTTGACAAGGTATTTCTCTCCGTCACGCCATTAATGCAACTTTCTTTCTGAAGCTTTATAGTTCTGCGCAGTGAATGCTCTTTGCACTCTTTTTTTGTTCTTCAACAGCAACAACTATTGTCTTTCTGAGGAGTTTCATTACTAAGTGATATCATTTTAATTGCTGTAATGAAACAACCTCGAGAGATAAGAGAGAGAATTTAGAGGGTGACTTGCATTTGCTATAAAACCCTTTGATTGTGTTTGTTGGCCAAAACCGAAAACTGAATAAATGTCTTTTAATTGAAAATCATCTGATTTGTGGTTATTTTTGTGCACATGGGCACACAGCGGTAGTCATTACTGGCCTGAAACCTCCCAATGCAGGAGATGAAAGCTCAACAAGCAGGAGGCAGGATGTAAATGAAAGGTAAATACTCCCCGCTGCTTTGCCTGAAGTCAGCTATAGATATTATCTACCTGCTCCGACAGTCTCCATGACAACACTCACAGGCCGTGCTCAATCCTCTTATGTTGGCGTCTATGTTTGGGGGAAACAGGAATTTTTGCACAAATGTCACGAGTACACCCACTTCAGACACACAAAGCAGCTCATGTTCATAGGAAAGAACCTCACCGCTATCTCTGCTTTCACAAAGTAAGGGACTGTTTGGGTAAAGTACCCTTCTTACAAGAAGCCGTTTTTAATAAACCTTTTTTTATTGACAATTATTTTTAAACTAAAAATGGTACAAGAAAATGTTTCAGAGATAAATAAGGAAGAGTCTGGTCAAAACATCATTTAATTAACTGACCGTCCTCGCATGTGCGCTTCATAAATAGAATTAAGCCGAAACATAAATGAATCCAATGGAAGGGACGTGGACCTGTCACCTCAGCTATTTGACTAGCTTCTCAGAAGTGCTCTCAGATTGGACAGGTGAGCGCTCGCCCATTAGCTGATAAAAGAACAGTCATCTCTGCAACCGCGTGGCTTTTCACGCTAACATGCCAGCGGGGAAATAAGAACATTTAAAGTTCGAGTTCACGAGGTGTGTCAGTTATGGAATCAAAAAGAAGGGGTGCACTTAAGACGGCGTGCGTGGTCTCAATTCAAAGTCTCCTTAACCTCTGTGAGAATCATTCCAACAATCTTCACAACCTTTCGGCATCGCCAGTTGGATCATGTTACTTCTTATGTGATCAAAGACACTATATATTGCTTATTCATGCTCATAGATTGTCTTACTGGCTGAGAGTTCTTCAAATGAAGGACTTTCTATAATTCAGGAGGTTTTTATCGACTAAAAATAGCTTCACTAATGCCATGGTGTGATTATGAGAGCACTCAACCTCACAATACAGGTAAGCATCAGGCTGCCATGATTCTTATACTTCAGTTTATGTGTGAGCTTGTGTTGTGTTTCACAACGCACCTCTGTAAGCGTCTAGACGGCTCATTTTTAACAAGGTCTGTGGGCCGCGGTGCTGGCTTGATAAAGTGAGGTTTGGGGGGTACAGTGTGGCTCAGCAGCAGTGATCCACGCAGCATCAGAGGACATGTGAAATGTAACCTCCTCCCGTCACTCATCCCGCCTCCTTTGGGGGCCATTAGCAGTATGTTAATATGGTGCTTTAGTTCTCATGCGTCCAGCTCATAGCCAGCTTGTGAGTCTGCCAGGGCACTCAGGAAAACAATTAAGGTTTTGTACACGACGCAATTGGGTCTCGCCAGAAGAGCCGGAGTGCATTTTTGAACAGCGTGTCAGTCATGAAAACCATAAATCGCCCCATAAAGTCAAAGGTTTGTGTGGGTGGTGCTGAGATCAATCCCACCATTACATTGTATCGTATACTCTTTACTGATTCATGGGGGCTTTTACATCACATAATCACCACTATGTGCTCAACTTGCCATCTGTACAATTAACAATTAACCAACAATTAACGTCTTTCAGTGCAGCCAAGTATAGTTTGGATAGCTGACTTTACAAGTGGGCCCAGCAGTTACATGTTCCCCCTGTGTCTCCAGTGATTCTCTCCGGCTTCCTCCCACAACTTAAAGAAATGTCCCACTTTCCTGGTTCACCAATTAGGCTCCATTTTACGACACAAGCATGCTGTGTCTTCCCGTGTCTTTTTTTGACAACCCATTTTGAGCTGGTAAGTAGTTTTTATCCGTGGTTTAGAAAGAATCATTTTACCATTGGTGACGCTCTGGTTTGTGCCCCAGACCCAGTGCCTCAAGGAGGTCCTAACCAGGTGGGAGCCGGCCCAGGTGGAGAGAATGCAGCCCAGGCCTTGATTAGAAGCACTGCTGTTTTGCTTGGTTTGGTTTTGTTCCTGTTTTGTGTCTCTCGTTTTTTTCATTGTGTTCAGTTAGATTACTTTGTGGTAGTTTTTCTGTGTCTTGAACAAATTGTGATTTTTTTTTTTTTCCCCCAGAAAGTTAATTTATACACTAATATATTTGTTTTTGTTTAGGAGTGCGTCGGGCTGGCAGCAGCGTGGCGACCCGGATGGTGGTGGGGCTGGTTGGGCTGGGCCTCACTTTCTCCTCCTATTTTTCTTAGTTGCATGTTTTTTTGGTTATGATTTAACCAAATTTATTGTTTGGCATGAGTGTGGATGCGGAACTGGAGGCAGTGAGGGCCTTGTCCTAGAGCTTGTCCCCTCCCCTTTTTTCCGTTCTTAGCCCGCTGCAGCCTACGGCCCTCAATAGAATCAAATTTGTTTATTCAATTTTTTGTTCTTTAACGACATTCCCAGAGCTGATGGGAATTATTGCATTAAATTGTTTCGTACCTTTTTGATATTTTAAGAAATTCCAATGAATATTTTCGCCTTGGTCTGTTTACACTGGTCATCTGTGGGTCCGTGGTCGATTAATAAATATCCCTACGGGACGATAACCGCCCCTCCGTACTCGCCAGTGGTTACACAAATTTTTTTAGACCTACTGTACAACTACTGTACAACTACTCGAGATGAGATTTGAAGGACTTTTTACTAGACTGCCTTTTTTCAACATTTTTCAATGATTTCTTTCCCAGGCAAAATCCCAGTGACAGCTGGTATTCATCCTGTGACAATATGACCTGTGCAGCCACCACCATCGCACCCTTAACCCCTCCTCTAACTTTTACACTGACAATTAATGTATTTGCGGAAAGGGAAGATCGATAGCGCCGGGGCCGAGGACGGATGACTCATCCTATGCCGGGTTCTCAGTGCTATTAGGGACGGACACCGGTCGATTTGTCTTTATTTAGGCTGTTATCAATCTCGTTTGGCACATAACCCAAAACCACAACAGTTGTAACTCTGTGGGGAGTTACCCACAGAGGGCGGCTGGATGTGTGCCACCCTGTGACCAACGTAGACACACTAACAGCCCATCACCACTGAGGGACATTAAATCGGGACATTGAGGGTTCCGCTGATCCGCACTTGTCATCATCTGACTCTAGAGGAACGTGTCCTTCACTCCCCTGGCAACCCGTCATGATTGGGGGTAAGCCAAGCACTTTTAACAGACAGATCGTCAATTATGCAAGCTGTCACAGCTATACATATATAATTAGGGCCTGAGCCGACTGCAAGTCGGGCGAAAGCCCAATTGTGTTTCAAAGAATTATTCTTATTATTTTACCCATTCAATCACACTTTTGAGGCCTTTTATCATATTCAAAAACTCTTGAAATTTTGCATGCGCATCAGAAATGTGAAAAACTTTGATATTTTAGAGGTTGCGCATTTGGGGTCGACAAAATGGCTATCTAGCGCTCCCCAAGGGACGTTTCCTCTGTGAGATTTTCAGTTTCACCGATTGACTTGAAATTTTGTACACAGGTGCTCTTGGATATGGTCTACAAAAAAAGTCAATCATGGTATGCAAATGCATCTAACTAGATTTTCTGCCATTTTGTAAAACACGTTTTTGCGAACTCCTACACGCTGGCTCAGGATATTTCAGGAAATCATCATTGGGTCACTGCTGTCAGTTATTAACAGCTTGTCATTGGGGTTCGAAGTTATGGGCCAATGAAGGTTGTAGGAGGTGTGGCCTAAAAGTGAAAGACCAATAACTAACTAACAAAAGTATTTGGCTTGTCCTCACCAAAGGATGATATGATAAATGTTCACGTTGAGTCCCAGAGCATACCCTGATTTTTTCAGAATATTTGAACTTTAGGGGGCGCTGCAGTCGTTCTCTGAAATTTTGCTTTTTTTTTGCAATTTCCATCATATATTGGATTTACAAATGAACTCCTCCGAGAGTTTAAACCCGATCCACTTAATTCACTAAAATCAGTTTTCGTGAAACTACCAGGGCGTGGCCTGACGTTAATTTTGGTCAATTTCGGTCGAGCCCAGTAAATAATGTGGGCTTCGTTGATCACTGGAAGACGTTTTGGGGAGAGCCTGGTCGTATTAGAAGGGATGGCATCCATCCCACTTTGGGCGGAGCTGAACTTCTTTCTAAGAACCTGACCCAGTTTCTTAGTGGACTTAATCCATGACCCAGACCCTGAGTCATGTTGATGTATTTTGTCTTACTGAAACGTGGTTGTTGAATGGGGAATATTTCTGTTTAAATGAAGCGACTCCTCCGAGTCATGTTAATACTCATATTCCCCGAGGCACAGGCCGAGGGGGGGGGGGGGAGTGGCAGCTATTTATGACTCCTGTCTTTTAATAAACTTTAAACCTAAGGTGGATTATAACTCATTTGAAAGCCTGGTTTTCAGTCTTTCGCAACTGACCTGGAAAATAATCCATCCGGTTCTCTTTGTAATAGTGTACAGGGCCCCAGGTCCTTATTCAGAATTTCTTTCTGAATTTTCACAGTTCCTAACGAGTTTGGTCCTTAAAACGGACAAGGTAATTATTGTGGGTGACTTTAACATTCATGTGGATGTCGACAACGACAGCCTTAGTACTGCATTCCTTTCATTGTTAGATTCAATTGGTTTCTGTCAGTGTGTAAATAAACCAACTCACTGTTTTAACCACACTCTCGACTTGGTTCTTGTGTATGGGATTGGGATTGAACATTTAACAATTTTTCCACAGAACCCTCTCCTGTCGGACCATTGTCTGATAACCTTTGAATTTCTACTATTGGAACCACCTCTTCCTGCCAAGGGTTTCTACAGTCGATACCGCTGTAGACTCATTTAAGTTCAGTGCCCTGCCTCAAGATACAAGAAGACTCCTGTGAGAACCTCAGTCCGTCCCAGATTGATAATTTTGTCTATGCTGCTACAGGCTCTTTGAGAGTGGCGCTGGACGCTATTGCTCCTCTGGAAA